ATAGCAAAATATGCAATTCTTCATTGCCATTGCAAACTCCTGGACAAAAATCTTCGTTTAATCAGTTTCAATAAGCATAAACTCTTCAAATGTATTCTGTTGACTTTCATCATCAGTATATTAACTGTATAGGAAAAAAAAATTCTTAAACCTTCCATTCAACTTTTTTATTTTTGCTTTTCAAAGCAATATGTATAACTCTTCATCGCATGTATCTAAACATGTTTCTTTATTTTCACTTTTCAAAGCAAAGCCAACTAACTTTGAAAATTATCACAAATAACTTAGATTTTTCTGAGTTTCAGATTCATAAGGCTTACTTTGAAGTTTCAATTCTCTTAGCTTATAAATCATTTAAACAAACCAATTATACTATTAGAAAGTTCACATTTCATACTACAAAAGCCCGCAGAGAATCGACCAAAAAACTTATCCGAAAGTAGAGTTTTAGCGACCTAAATTTGAGCTGTTAGAATCATCAAATACCTATTTTTCCAACTTCAAAAAAATTCATAACTTCTAAAATACACACCCAAATGAAGAGCTTCAAAGTTCATTGAAAAGGTCTTGAAGAGACCTTTTCATAAATAGCAAATATGCCACTGGAAAATCACCGGAAGGTTGCCGGAAAAATTAAAAAGTTAAAACTAAATTTAAGTTTGTAGGAAAATGATAAAAAATTCATAAATTTATAAAGGATTGTATTTAATCTTACCATATTGTGTAAAATCTAACACCCCAAGTTTGAAATCTCCACTAACAACAACAACAACAATAAATTAAGTATTGTATCCCATAACTTTAGGGTCAGCTGTATGAAAGGCCAAAAACAAAATCATGTTAGGTCAAAGTTTTGAATCTTCAGTAAATAAACAAGCATCTAATTAATAAATTGATATACTTGGAACGTGAGGTTATTGAAATGTTTGAGGTTGTCTGGTTAATCAGACTAGGGGAAAAAAACAGGGATTTAGTAGTAGACTCACTAAATGGTGATATTCATTTTTTTTCATTAAAAAAAAACAAAAAACAAAACTCTCAGCTACAGTAAACTCTTGCTTGTTTTTCTCTTAAAAGATGAAACTTTGAAAAATTAAAGGCAAAAAAATGTTAAAAAGCCCAACAAATTTCCATTTCTTACTCACAAAGAATAAATATATGCTTTACTTGGTAGAGGGGCATAGCAATGGAGAATGTGGAAACTTTTTTAACATAGTAATCAAGTTTAATAACCACTTTATAATTTTATAACAGAAAAGTTGGATTACAAAAATTTTTCTTTGTGGCACTTAGGTGTTCAGTCCAAAGCTGAAAAAACTAGGTTCAAACCCCTCACCTTCCTCCCCTCAAAATTTTAACTTCGATTAAAAAGTTTTTTCTTTCTTTTTCTGTACATCCTCCCTACAAAACAAAATCTAAAAGTCAAAAAGCAAAATCCAAATATGATAGCACTTAAGTCTTCAACACATGATAAATGATAATTACTCAAATCGAGGTGTATAAAGATTAGAACAGTATTATCAGAGGTACAAGGGAAATGATAGCAAATGAAACCAAATATTGGTCAATCTGGCTTGATGTGGTCTAGCTAAATTTTCAAATATACTGCTGCAATCCAGGCAATTGGTCTACAAGAAAATTTTCCGAGTTCTTAAAATGTTCTAGGCATCAACTCCAAGCCTACAACTTAGTTGAAGGCTTGAAGCAAATACAGATATTATCCTTGAGAAGTGAACTTTCATACCTCATAAGTCATCCAAGTTAAAATCAAGTCATTGCACCAGTAAATCTCTGATGTCTTTGTTTCAGAACCACTTTGAGAAAAGCAATCAGGACTTGCAGCGGCTTTGTCTAATTAACTTGCTAAATCTGCCTCCCATAAACCCAAACTACATGCCCTCTTGTAAGTCTCGTAACCTGCTGCCCTTAAGCCTTCTGTGACCAATTCCCTTAATGATCCACTGGTTCCTTCACTACTCATCACATCCAATAGAGCTTGATAGATTAGGTCACAAGAAAACCACAATGGCACAGCTCTTATCAACTAAACAGACATCAAAGTCTTTAGAAAAAACATCATGGAACCCTTGAAGCAGGCTTTTAAGCATTCTAGCAAACAACCTATCCCTAAATCTCCATAAGAAAACTCAGTCCTCACAGCCTACTTTTCTCGGGCTCTTTGTCCAAATTTTGATACCCCCATCAACTGATTCTTGGGAACTTCCGAAACATGATTTGAAGACACTTGCATACCAATCAACAAGAAAGTAACATTCTCACCACCAGACTGGAAAGCACCAGGAGTGATTTTTAGCACAGAGCATAATTTTGCAAACAAGTGAGATATTTTCACAACAGTTTGCCCATGAATCTTGCCTTCATCTAACAAAGCTAAAGACCCAATATTATGTACAAAAGACATCAACATGAAGCGCAAACAATAACATAATGATTGGTAGTTCTTGTACATAACCAAGTTAGATAAGTACGAAAGGAGATATTGATGAAAATCAGCAGCATATATAACTAGAGAGACACACTAACCTCTGTGGGAATTTTCCACGTCAATTGGTGCAAAAAAACGATTCTTGAGGTAAGATATGGCTGCAGGTATGTTGGTCACATTTTCTAAAGGACCAATTTCCTTCATCAGATGGTTAACATCAAATATATGTGGGAAAATTGATCGTAAAGAGCAAAGGAACTTATCCATGTTGAGAGGAAGTGGAGCTATGAATTTTGAATGGATAACTGAAAAATCTGCAGGACAAGTTATTCTTTAGGTGTATCATTAATTGAAAACATAACCAACAATAATATAGTTTGAAATTACTAGAAACTTTTCTATAAAGATGCACCATTAAGGGTATTGTGGGAGACAACAGGTTTCTGTGAAGCAGATATCAAATCGATCCTTTCTTGAAAGCCTATTATTTTCTTGTTTTGTTCCTCTTCAACATTCTGAAGCTCCCTCTGTTAATCAAGATCCCATTGACAGAGTTTAGAAAGAACCAAACCACTCATTATTATCAAGGATTGAGATTTATTTGCTACCTCAAAAAGACTTTATCTCCTTTTGAACTTGTTAAAATAACACGAACTCCCTGGATTCCACCACTACCAGCCTTTGCTGGGATTTTCAAAGCAACAAGGTCATCATGGAACTCTGCCAACATCTATAACCAATAAAGAAATTTCAAGATATTAATAGCAAAAAAAAAGCCCAAAAGATTGTCATTTCCTATAACTGCATCCCATGAGATTTACTTTTGCGTCACTCCCTTAATTGAAGGATCTTAATCTTAATCAGGTGAGTATACCTCTAACACAAGTTGAAGTTGACGTTCACTGCAAACGTCTATTGACATGCATGGTCTAGATCCATACCATTCACCCCTAAAATAAGTTTCTCAGTGATTCTACGAGAGCTTATGCCAAGAAGAAGTAAACACACTGAACAATAGGAAATGATGAAAAGATACTAAATAACCAAATATCTAACACAGCATCTTTCATCATCCGTCCTTCTGCTTGAGGAGTCTGTTCATGCTTTTTTCCAATGCTTAACACGTGATTTAACCCTTTCTACAAATACTGTATCAGCAAAGTAGGTAGGGAAGAAGAAGGTTCCATAACATTATTTATAGCAATTGGATTGCCCATTCGAACTTTTGCTACTAACTCTTGTTCTCTGGATAAGTATGATATACCTATCAAAAAAGGAAGAACTCTTTCAGCTTAGCTCAAAATTCCACTGACAATTTAGATCCCAATTATGATTTCTTTTTTCACTTAGTTTTGTTACTTGTCATCGTGTAGAGAACATCAAATCAATACAGAAAGTTTTCAAAAAGAGAAGAGAATAGGCTTTTTACCATCATAAATGCAGGCATTAAATCGAAACCTTGTTGAGCCATAGCTGTCAAATTCGAAGTTTGACATGAAAAACTGTAAGATGGCATCCCAATGTGGGATGTTTAATTCATCCCTATGGAAAAAGTGGAAGTTATATCTGCAATGACAATTCAAATAAATAAATAAATCCATTAGGACCTAAACGAAAAGAAAACTAATAATTAATTTTTAAAATAAAAGCTACTAATTTTTTAAATCGAAAAGCATTTAATATAATCCTGAAATTTCCCATAGCTAAAAAATTTGTTCTAATCTTCCAGTTACACTAATGATTGCTTTCGTTTTCTTCTTCTAAAATTCCTTAATTTTACAAATAATAATCCTGAAATTATTTTTTGATAGCTGAAAATTTTCAAAATTTAACAGAAATTTACTCACTGCAACTTAAAATTATTTTTTTTTTTCAAAAATAAATGAATCATTATATATATAATAAGGTCGACAATTCATGGATGGGCAGTGACTTTGGAGCCAAAGATGGTAAAGGGGCAGATGGCAAACTGGAGGAACTGGAAGCGTTCAGCGGCGCGTCGGGCCTTGAGGGAGGCGGTTTTCGGCTTGTCGAAGGAGGAGACGCAGTGCCAAGCGGCGGAGAAAGATACTGTGTTCTGGAGGGAAACTGTGACGAAGTCAGAAGAGGAGAGGTGGGACTTGAACTCCTGAAGTGAGTCGTTGAAGTTGGGTTTCGTTACCTGCTTTACGCCCCATTGGAGACAATGCCGATGGTTCTTTTGGGAAATTTTGGTGCAAAACCAGAAGCCTTCGTATTAAAGCTACCATTTTTTCCTCTTCCCTCTATCTTTGCCTTGATTCTCAGGTTTTGGAGTGGCTTTAGTTTTGGAGTTGTGAAGTACATTTTCTGTTGGGTCGGGAAACCCGCAAAATAGCCCATAAATTGGGCCGGGCCAGAGCTTAGGCATCTGGCCCAAAATTTTCTTTATTCCTTTATATATTTTTAAAGTAAAATTAAAACATCCGACCCCAAAATATAAGATATAAAGCTTAGAGTCTTATTGTTGTTATTATTTGAACGATATTAAAACCCTTAAAAAGAATTTCATCTTAAAGGTCTCCAATTTGAATCAGAATATAAACCCTTAAAACTGGATGGGACGAAAGAAGATTACCTCTTATTACGAAAAACAATATCATATATTAATAACTCATATACGGTAAAATAACACTATGGGCTCAATTATGACATCTGTTCTCCCCTTCACTCCTGTATTCATGTGGATAGGACAATAGTATTCAGTTATAATTAAGACAAAGGTAAAAGTTGATAAATTCATATAGGTTTCCCTGCCAGGAATCTGCTATAAAAATCCAATGCCTCTTTAGGTTTATATTCTGGGACAGTATGCCCTGCTCCCTGGACCACACAAAACAAAAAGGTTGAATCAGAACTGGAAATCTGAGAAATTTTAACAATTTAGAATATTTCTCTATGGATTAAAAAAAAAGAAAGAACATGTCTGAAACGTGATACCTTTATGGTTAAAAAGTTCAGGTTGTTCTCATAACCTTGTAAATACCTGCAAATGCATTCCCAAAAAATATACTGATTCAATTCTAAAGTAAAAATTGAAAATGATTCAAATTTGTAAAACACAACATGAAGGGCATTACATTGGGAAAGAAAATCATCTATTGTATTAGGAAATCTAGTAGTAATAGACTCAGACAGTAATCAAGATAAGATTCTTGCTAGCGATAAATTACATATGTTAAGGGTAGAAAGGGTCTGAAAGTACCCTGCAATTTGTCCATCGGAAGTCCATGGCCTCCATTCATCCAGTATCTTATATCCAACTGATCTTGTCCAGGCTTCACTGCCGGTGAACGGAACACACATATCATGATCCCCACTGCCAGAAAAGTTAAATACATATACCACTTATAAGAGAAGATAAATGTGAAGCATTCATTTTTTATGGCACTAAAAGCCGAATTTCGTTTCCCATTATTTCATGCAAGTAGCTGCAATGGGAGTTTAAACATCATGAAATTCGATCAATCAATGCAGCTTCAGATAAATACAATGTTCAGGGATTTGGTCAAGGGAAAACAGATTATATCCACCTAGGTAACATGTAGAAACCAAACAACTTTTGACACTAAAAGGAAAATAGGACTTGTGAACTATGCCATGCCTTGCACCAATTCCCACAAAAAGTCCTTTGTTACGTTCATTTGAGGTCCATAATGGGAAAAAGAAAGAAATGAGGGAAACTGTAAAAAAAAAGGACAAAATTTCTGAAAGGAACTGTAGTATTATACAACATTAATTCAAGATTAACCTGAATATGAGTGCCCGATATCCCCTAGAAGTAAGATTCTTGTGATACTTAATCATGCTACCAGCTTCATGAGTATATAAGATATTGTCCGTACATAACTCCCATCTACCAATCACATTCTCCTGTGGTGTCACATGATCGTAAAATTACTGCTTTTGAAAACATCGAGAGATAATGACTTCGAGAGTGCTAACCTCTTCAGCATGAATTGCTTTCCTAACTGCTGCATCATTCAGCCATTCTGTTGCCACTTCATCATTCTACATAATTCATGTAAAATTTTGAGTATGTAACTTATCAATACTTCCACTAAGCTGGTTTGAGACAAATCACAAATAAATAAGAACCACCACATTAGCTATAGGAGTCAGATGACCACAAGGAATACCTTAGCATGACAAAAGACAACATCAAGTCCTTCAACTGATAGTTATTGACCACAAAAACTCCTTAAGATCAAAGGTATGCTTCAAAGTTTTTCACTTTTCCCTTTTTTCTTTCAGGTCCAACAACAACAATGGACCATATAAGTGGATACTAATAAGAACTAGAAGGTTAATTGCTAGATGCATACCGAATATTATCAAAATTGCAGTGCACAAAAACAACGTAAGAGCCCATTAATGTATTTAAAGAAAACACACTTGAAACAAGATACAAATAAGCAATCTTCATAAAGGAATCTTTTGATGACTTTATAATTATTCAGAATAAGTTAAACTTACAAAGCATGGAACAGTTTGGCCATTGAGAAGTTGTGGCCATGTTGGAACAATTCCATCTCTTACAGGAGCTCTAACAGGCCAGGCACGACCAAACATCCTTTTCCTTACAGCAAGAGGCCTGTCAGTCTTCCCTAACTTCAGGAAGCTGGAAGGTAGTCTAATCTTAATATCTGTAGTCTCAGGTGTTTGTGGGTAATGATAACAAGGTTCTAGAACGTCGTATATGTTTAAATCTTTTATATTCTTCAATTAGTCAAAAATTGAGAGGCAAATCAAAGAGAATGCTAATTCAAATTATCTGAACTTTCCCCTAAATCATTGAATATAAGGAGTTAAGCAGTCAATTACCTCATCAACTTTTTTCAGTTTGCTTTCACAAGTATCAGTGAGTGGGTGATAGAAATTACCCCTGCACTCATTTTTGACCTCCTGCAATATGTAGCTTGAACAATCAGAACTAAGTTTTTTGGAAAAAACAAACTATGGCCTATTTTCACTTTACCACTTATAGCAAGTTTGATCTAACAGCCTCCAATAACAAACCGGGAAGCTTTCCCAAAAAAAAAAGAAACAAACAAAAGCTTAGTAAAAGATCAAAATTCTTGGTGGATGTGAATTTTTTGTCATAAAAGGTACCGAAACTTAGGTTTCTTGGTGCAGTACAGTTGCTTAATCACATCTTTTTATAATGGATCATGGATGGAATAATTGGATGGAGCTCCCAACTGTGTCATATTAAAATCCACCCCTTAAGTTACTATGACAGATATTTATAACAAGAACTATTAGTTACTACTACCAAACACTTAAAATTTAACTTGTTCAAAGAGCTAAACCATATTGCATATTTGGCCTTGGACCGAAAAAAAAGTCTAGTGTTGAAATATTTACTGCAGCAAAATTAGAAGATCCACTATTTGAAAATGTAGATTCAGGTCAAAGTAGAATGGAAAGTTCAAATTTTTTTTACTGCAGCAAAATTTCAGACCAAGTAATTATACCTAGTACTGGCACCTTTCGTAAGGAGTCATTTAATGGAAAATCTAACTATGAAAGCAAAAGGAACTGGCACAAAAAAAGGTATATCAATATTAGGGGCTGCTCCATGCACCTCGTATAGGTCATCTGAGATCAAGCCCATCCCATGGGCAAATGGAACAAGAGCATTGCCATCAAATGCACCATCTGTAACTCCATTTCCCACCAAATATCCCTGTTTATGATGACTTCAGATTGCAGCCAGAAGGCATGTCTTTAAAGTTTAAACTTTAACCAAAATAGTTTCCAGAGATACTTGTTCCTTGAAATTAAGAACCGGCTTTGTACCAGCATCAATTCCTGTGAAAGATTCATATCTGCACTTTAGATTAATCCTAAAATTTATAACGTCTAAACTAAGAGGATATACCTTTCACTACTTCATAAGAAAGAGTAGGCACATATACTCCAGCATATGACTCTCCAGCAATAAAAAAGGGGTTCGAGAGGAACTCAGGGTATAGCTCAAACCACTGTTAGACAACACATACTTAAGACTTAAGTATGTCAGCAAATAAAGGACTTGAGCAATAATGAGTAAAATCTGCTATAACATTTTATTCCTTCTTACCTTGAGCAGAAATGCATGTGTATCAATGGCAGTCTGTACGTCACCGGTCACATAATCACTTCGATTCTTTGAATAAGAAAGCCCAACCCCAACGGGGGAATCTAAATATATAATGTTGGAGACCTGAAACCAGTGAACTAAGATATTTTACAACATTGAAGAGAAATGAATATAAACAAATCAAGCATCTCCTTTTTCTCCTATCAAACAGAACTTAAAATTTACAACCTTGGACCAACTATATAGATTGAGATGCAGTTGAGGCAAACTTCCATTTGTCTTCGCTGCTTCAAAATTGAAAGGCCCTAGAATGAAAACTAGTAAGTAACTGTTATAAATTGATAAAATTTCTCCAAACCCTCCTTCTAGAAAGAATAAGGTGCTGTATGTGAGGTGAAAAGGGTACCACATGCAATCATTTCAGCTTTCATCTTGGTAAACTAAAATGGAATACCCTCAAGGAAATTAAATGCAATCTGTCAAAATTCATTTTTTTTTCATCTGAAACATGAATTATATCTTATTCTAAATCAATTCAGTGAAAAAGAGCATCCATCAAAACCTCACTAAATTATGCAACTGGCCACGAAATACCCACATTAGTTGTCATCAAGGATGATCCAGAACAACTGAGTTAATGTGGCAGGATCCCTTATGCATCTAAGTGAATTCAAGTCAATAAATTGCAGAACTTCATTTCACCATCTACGCTTATCAATCTCATTGTTCAGCTAAATATTTCAAAAGTCACAGATTATTTCAAACCCTAAGGGGAATCTGAAATATCTCAACATCCGATGAAAAATATGAAATATTTTTATTGACTGATGGTCTACAGTATATACCATGCTCGTAAACAAAACCGTCAAAGCTGGAGCATCCAGGTCCACCATTGAGCCAAAGAACCAGTGGATCCTCTGATGGCTTCCTTTCAGATTCCACAAAATAGTAAAACAGATTCTTGCCATGACTTTGATCAATATTCACATACCTTCAAGAACAAAAAGATATCCACATAACAAAACAAAATTAGTGTACACAGCAACAAATTCAACTATTTCATGAATAATCACAAAAAAAAAAAAAGAGTTTGACCACCATATGTTATAATTCCCATACTATAGGAAACAAGAAGAAAAGCAATGAATTTTGGAAAAGATGAAAATTTTGTAACAAAAACATTGAATACGTGAATACCCAGAATAGTGCTTCGAAGGAAAAGTGCCAGCAAAGCCAGGAAGTTGAGTGACCAGAGCATTCTCAGGAGCTGACTGAGTTAATATCACTAAGCTACAGAACAGACAAAAGTATATGACTTTGTAAAAGCCAAGTGTAGGATCTTTAGCCATAGCTATATTTTTGAGTTAAAGTTTCGTTATGGATTGATTGATGACATTTTGTTGAATTTAAAGAGTCTGTTTTTCTGACAGGTGCAAACTGCCAACACTGTTCGGATTAAGGAGGATAATGGTACAAATTGATGTCTTTTTGTTTTTTTGCAAAGTATAGATTTCCCATGCTTTCAAGGCAAGACAACAGAGGAAAAGACAAAACAAGTGGTCGTACTGAAGTAAGTGACGTGATCCAATCAAACAGAAACTCTTGGTGGTGACTGGTGAAACATGAGTTTGAGTTTGTGGTAGGCCCGATTGTAAATGGACAGATGTACAGAACAAAAACTGCAGTTGTTGGTTGATAATTCAATTGACATTTTTGGAATTTTGTTTAGATACGTCCTTGGGTTGATGATCTCTCTTTCCTTAATTAAAGGTGCACGATATCTTCGAAGCATGGATTTATTTCATGGTTTAACTTTTAAGTGTGTTCTCTTTGTATGATTATGTCTCCATGTACATATATGCATATATATATATATATAATTATAAGAAAAAATAAAAATAATTCGATGACAATTAATTTATATAATTTGTCTGCATCTTTTGTCAATGAAATTAACTGTTAGCATAGTAATTATCATATAAGTAACCAAATTAATTGAAATTAGTTAAAAAGAAAATTATTAAAAACACTACCTGTGCTCAGTGAATTTACTTCTCCTTTTGATTTTTTTTTTTCATTTTCTTAGTTTTTTAAAGCTTTTGATTTTTTGTTTTATTTTTTTGATTTTTTACTTTTAATTTTTTATTAGATAAATTTTATAATAAAAAAATAATTAAGATGAAAATGATAAAATAATCCGATGGGTTTTGATTCACTCAAATATAATTGGCATGCTTTCTTTTAATTTGAAATAACTTGATTAAATTTTTTAAATGAAGCTTAGATAAGAACAATATTTTGAATATTTCACCTTAATTATTTAATATATCTATTAAAAAATTTATTATTTATTTAATTTTTTATTCATATATGTATTTTATTAAAATATATTATTTAATATATTAATTTAATAAATTCACGTAACACGCATTTGACTTTTTTATTTTTATTTTTATTTTTATTTAAAAATTTTTTTTATTAGATAAATTTTTTAAAAGAAAAATCAATCCATGTAAACATAACAAAATAATTTATATCTAATAAGTTTTAATTCACCTTGATCCAATCAATGTGAATTTTTTAAAAATAAAAATTGGATTAAATTTTATATTTTTAAACAGTTTAAGTCAAATTAAAATTGAATTTAAAGTGTTCTACCCTAACCTTCATTGGAATATATAAAAAATATATTTTATTACTTATTTAATTTATATTTATATATTTATTATATTAATAAAAATAATATTTAATATCTTAATTTAATAAAAATTATATTTATATATAGTTAAATTATAATTTATATTAAAAAATAAATATACTTATATTTATTTATATATTGTCATATATATTAAAACTTAAAACAAAAATTTTATTTTTCTCATATTTGAAACATAAAAAAAAAAAAAATACAGAACCTGGGTAAGAGGATCACAATTCTATAACCAATATTTGTGGTTCGAATATTGAAGCAACCATAAGTGACGACTATACCTACAAAACATGGGCCACCTTGACTACCAAATTTATATAACCTCAACTCATTTGAAAATCTTGATGGCATTATTTTAATAGTACTATTAAACTTCAATCATTGCCCATGGAGGATTGAAGTTCACTTTTGTTTTTTTTTTCCTTTATTCTCTTGTTCTGGTTAATGCCTTAGCCGTTACCCAATTTAATTACTCCCAATAATGGCAATTATGCACCCTGTTTAATACTCCAGGAGACAAGGAAAGGGAAAAAAAAAATTAGGAAGCAAAATACATGCGAATTCATCTTGAAGCATGCAATGCCTCGTTAACCTTCAAGTTGATGACTCAGAGCAGAAATGGAGGAAATGGGTGCATGCCTTTGAAAAAAAAATGTGAAATGCTCAACAAAATTATACAGTTATGAACTGAGGGTTAAAAAAAACACAATGTAGTATTAAAAATTACATACTAACAAAAAAATGAAGAGATTAAAACCCATAAGAGATTCAAATTATGGGTTAACCTTTTGCATGATTTTACACTACCACAAAATCTTAAATTACAGACTAACAATACAATTTCCTATTATTCTCCCCAAGACTTCTATATGCACCTATTTCAATGGAATGACAGACCGTTTTTACAGCATGTTGAATCATACAAGTTCACTAAGAATGGCACAAGATTTTCAGGCAACAAGACTGCATGCTACTTCTTGTTTCCCAGCCAAATTAAGGCCGTCTAATCTCTTAATCTACTATTTTCCACTGACAGGCTTTAGATTGCTGGCCAAGTGATCAAAGTATCGTGCTTACTTGATTCTTGTTTTCACACCATGGTTACCTGAATGAATGGACAATCAAGGATATGATTACCAGAATGAAAACTGTTTTACTCGAATCAGATATTGATGTTGCGCCAGAAAAATTAACTCTCTGAGCCTGATCCCTGTAGAACATCAATACTTGGAGAAATTAACAAACAACAAAAGGAGAATAATAGCAAAAGAGTTCCTAGAAAATCTCCAACACAACAGTTGTATATATGCTATTGCCCATTAGATAGCATTTTTTGTGGGATGTCGGCAGATAATCAATTTTTCTTCTAGTAGAATAATGATAATGTTGCACCAGAAATTTTTTTCTAGTGAAATGTGGTATATCCTTTTGCAAAGAGCACGGTTTCTTCAGTGGAGAATAAGAGCATGAAATTTTCTTTTCCTACAGTCTCTCAACAATGTGGAACAGCGTTGATTTCAAGAGTTTCCACCAATATCATTTTTAAAACTAGAATAACTTTAACAGATTCCAGTAGATATTAAGAACTTTAAAAATATGAGTAATGGAAGGAAACGGTTTATACTTGATCAATTTAAAGGTGAAGGTTCAATCTAAAAGTCTCCATGAATCACTTTTCAATAGGCAAAATATAGTAGACCATAGAAGACATTAAACCACATTGTTTTGAATTCTTACTTCTGTAATGACGAAAGGATACCGCAATATATAGCATTTTCAGGCAACGGAACCTCAGACTGGTCAACCTCTGGATTAACAACACTCACATAAGCTTCTTGTCCTAGATACCATGAATCAAGATTCTGTGCTCGGAGATTCCAAATGCCTGCATTGTCAAGAGAAACCAGAATTGCTGTCCAGGCTCCAGGAAAGACCTGCAATCAGGTATAATATTAGAAGTGGTTGTTCACACATGAGATTTTAAACATATAAAATATGTTTAGTATCTTCAATGTGAAAATACTTTAAAAAGGTTAACAGCAGAATGTGCTTAGATGAACTCATTTTCACAAAAGGAAAAACCTCAAACTAGGAAAATCTTTCTCTAATTACGATGATTAGGATAATCGAGCTTCCTTAATTGAAGCACTTTACTACGGCTAACTTTGCAAGGCCTATAATGAAGATGGACTTGCATTTCTCGAAAATAGTTTTTCCTTTTGGTTTGTTTCTTGAATCAAGAGCTAGCTTCCTTTCCATGATAAAAAAATCTCTTTCCTGTTTTCTTTTCTCTTATCCTTTTCACCACATTTTCACTGAGCAGTTTCATTGGAAAACATTTGAGATCAAGATTACAAGGCAGGGATACCTGTGTGGTAGAGCGTGCAACACCATCCCATTTGTTGTATGTGCCTCTGCTATTCTCTGTCCACACCCCAAAATCCATACTACAATAGCGATGGAAATTTGTCAAATTCATGTATCCCAGCATCCAAGGATCGAGAAAATAAGGTGTCAAAATCTAAAAGCTCACCCTACAACAAAGAATGCATAACCATCCAGATGGTAGCTCTGAACTGTGGTGTCATTATTTTGAAAGATTATTTCCATAAAACCTTTGAAAGTACCATTAATTATGGATGTATCGACTTTGGGAGGTCTGCTCATCAGTCTATTTGGAAAATCAAGCTTGTATACGCCGGGAATGTTGAACTGCTGTGCAAGTTTTAAGGGTGTTGAAGGTGGTAAGTATGAAATACCATTAAGAGTTGTATGCCATTTTCCATCTATAAGCTCTGCAGGCCTATTGAGGATCACATACACATCTGTCACAGTAATCTGGCCATACTTGAAAGATCCCTGTGGGTTTGGACGCGCAGCACCAGCAGAAACATTCCACCTATATATATGCACCAGAATGACAAAGATAGAATCAGCCTACCAAGATGAGAACTTATCGCTTTTAGTTTAGCAGCAATTTGCTCTCTATCACTTAGCAGTTGAAAAGACAATTTTATCCTGCATAGTATCTGTCAGGCTGTCAGCATTTAGATAAAGGATAAAGCAATCTTTTCAACTGCTCAACATTTTAAACAAGAGGGTTTTTTAAGCATATAATTCTTATATCTGCTCAAAGAAAAATTTTCTAGTATATTTCAAATTTTGATTAAAAAATATATAAATGAACTACAACCTTATTGATCTTGCTTGATTCATTGAGAAATATGTGTCATAATCATTCGGAGGATCGGGAAGAGGACCTGAAGCAGGTCCCTGGGAGTTGGAGTAGTGCAAGATAGCGACTCCAGTAACTTTAGCCCAGTCAGAGGAATTAACAAACCGAGGACTAGCTACAATGTAATAATCATTGCTAGCATTCTGGTCCATGGTAACCAAGAATGAGTACGATTGACCCACATGGATATCCATGTTTGAGTAGTTTTGTTGAACTGTGTATGATCCTTCAGTCTCAACAAGAAGTAGGTTATGGTTTTGAATTCTGAAATTCAAGCTAGTTGAAATTCCAACGTTATGGACCCTGAAGCGGTATGTTTTCCCTGTTTCAGATAAATTATAAAAACATCTGGCTATTACTGGCCGCACCACAAAAGGAAAATGGTTGTTATAGTGTCAACAGAATGTTATATTCAAAATGTAAAATCCAGAAATTTCCAAATGTATTAATGATCCAAACGCAAACATAGACATTAAAGTGTGAAATAATACAGGATCTCAGGCAGGTATAAGATTCCAATCAAGACACAAGGTCATAACAATGCACGTGGATTTAAAATTTCAATATTTCATAATAATAACATAAATATTTAACAACAATGTAGCATTCATATGCATAGAAATAAATCTCAGACAGCAAGTTATTTATGTAAACACAAGTTTCTTCACCAAAATACAAAGAGCCTGCTCATTTCACAAGTTACCTAATTATATTAAGTTGGATTGTCTTTATGTCTATACAAGCATCAAACACAAATGCAGACAAGAAGTGTCGTGACTAGAGAGTCTGACATGACATGGCATTTTTTCACAGAAAATCAGTTAAAACTGAACCATTTCTGATTTCTTGTTTTCATATATCATTAAACTCAAATCCTTACTACATCAAAACAACCAGAAGAGAAGAAACTAGGACTCCGTCATAAATGCAAGTACAAAACCAGATATACATCCCAAAAAAACAAGTAAAAAAATATTATTGTCATTTTCAAAGCTGTGAAAAGAAAGATACATTTTTCTAATGGTTCAAAAATGTAAGCCCATGCTTTAAATTTCGTGGAACATCCAGGCCTGCCCTCCAAAATTACTAATGAATTGATAGTATTTTCAGATGTCTAACATATTGAATATCTGCTATCATCGTTCATGGAGTACGTAGCAATGAAACCCATCATCTGGGACTGGCTAAAACAAGTATATTTGTAAAAAAAAAAATGGAAGTTGGATATGAATTATGTCAAATATAAGTTTATTCCTCCAAGCAAGATAATGTTCCATGAAACGAAACAGCAGAAAACCAAGCATTGCACGCACACCTTCAGCCATGTACCTGGTTCAACATTTATGATCAGGTAAACAATCCCATCTTTAAAAAGCGTCTGATCATAACGATATGGACCCAGTCCATTAATTACGATACCATCAGGAACTCCAAGGTTGACTCCATTTTCAACATCTTTCCTTAATCTCTGTTTTTGCACAAGAGCAATTGTTTAGAAACCAAAATTTAACTTGATTAGCTGACAGACACCGGAAGCATTGAGCAAAGTCAAAGATTTTGCAGACCTTATGACTCTTAGTATACCAGTCACTAATAAAGACAGTAATATCACCCTCGGGCATCCCAAAGGGTAGCGGAATGACATCTCTGTTGTTTATGATGATTCCTCCATAGCCACCTGCAGCTCTTTGGAAGTTTAGGGAAGGGAAGTAAAAGAAACTCCCTATCTGATCTTTGACCTGAAACTCATATGTCCAATTCCAACCAGCAGGAATCGGACAATTAGTCCCCGAAACACCATCTTGCCAAGAGTTTTTCCTATGTTGTATACCGTTCCTACATTGAAATAAGCAATATTAGAACTGAAATAACCATTTTTTCTTTTTTATGGAACCAATAAATTGATTTATCTCCTTTATTTAATCACTTTTCAATCCTTCTTGTTACTTGTATATTATACCATGTAAGCAGAAATGGCTCATCAAGATCATTCTTGACATTTACAACAACATTCCAATTCGTAGTGACGTTGAGGATTGGTCCAGGAAACTGCCCATTAATCCCAATCACCTGGAAAATGGTATTTAAAAAAAATGTCAGCAGCCAACATGTTCTATGTAAACAACCTTCCAATGGCCAACATGTAAGATAGTTTTGGGTCATACTTCTGATTAATAGGTCATAACTCATGGCATGATGTGAGCTGTGGAACAGGCAAGACATAGACTAACATATGGATTCCAACGTTATTGAGACAATAACTACAACAAACAGAGGCTTGTTCACTATGTAAGGTTGGTTATATGGGTAATATTGCACCATTGTGTTTTATCAAGACCATAAGCAGAATTTATTAGCAAGTTAAACTCAAATATATGGCAAAATGCCACACATTTAAAACCAAAGCTTTTAGAAACATAGAGGTAAGATACGCATAACAGCTTCCATAAATGGTGAACATGCTTTGAAGTTGTTTCCTTCAGCAGATTGAATTACTCAGAATGTTAACGAGTACAATTTATCAATTGTTCATGGAAATTCCATTTTCACTGCTATCAGTTTGGGAGATAAGCAATTTGAGTTTTACCTGGAATCAACATACTAAACAGCCTTTAAAACGTTTTTTTTTTTTTTTAATGTATATTAAGCCCAACAAGTTATTGAAAGTATAAGTTCTCATTCACCAAAATTAAATAATTGGATGCCTAGTAGTCCAGTCGAGCCAGTATGATATTTAATGTCAGTAAATTGACACAATTGGTATAGACAAAAGCTACCATTTTGGAAATCAATTGCCTTTGAAAGGACGTTCAGAATAATTATTAGGCAGACAAACTAGGAAATCATAATCTATTTGTTGATTGTAAAGATGGTTATCTTGCCATAATCTAACCACAAGTGCATGTCCAAAGTTCCCAGTTATCTTGATAACATGATTAGCCAGGCGACTCTAAAACCAAACTCCTCAGAATAGGATACTCATAATTACTTACCATAAAAGAACTAGCGGTAATTTCACTCTTTATAGTTACAGTAAATACAAAAGACTACACTGTAACTTGCTGAAATCCGCGGAGAATTCAACTTTCAACTCACAACATATATTTTTCATCTAAAATCTTAACAACCATTAAGCTTTAAGCAAGCTACACATAATTCCCACAAAAATTATAAAAGAAAGACCAATTGTTTAAACAATGACATAAATTCAACAAGCAGAACACAACAGCAAGAGAAGATAAGGAGAAACGAACCTGCTGTTTATCACCAAGAGGAGAAGTTGTGAGGTAAGAAACAGTCCAATCATAGAAGACATAAGGGTCACCTGCCAAAGAACCAATCACCAAACATCCAAGCACAAATAAGAAGGAAGAAACTCGGAAACATGGTGACTCAGATACCATTGGCTCTCTCTCTCTCTCTCTCTCTCTTAAAAACCAATTTTAGCTTTGGGTTATCTTATCTTCTTTGCTGACACAAAGAAAGACAATGGGTTTTTAGAAACGGGGGGTTGTAGTAGTAGTATAGTTTAGTTATTAACTGGGTTAGTGAGTTTGGAGCGTGCAGATTTTGAGTCACACGGGAAAGTGGCAGGCAGCCATGTTGGGCATTGGAGACAGCTCTGGCGGCCTTTGTGGCGCCAGTGAGTTCTTTTCTGGTACTGGGTCCCATTCTTTTCTTTTGACCGTTGTCCAATTTCTAGACGACTGACCCACCATGAATTTCAATTTTAGAATAGAAGTATGGGCTGTAACTGTGCAGATGGAATCATCAAATTACTTTGGAGGCCAAAAAAGTGGCTAATAAATGGGAAAATAAAAATGGTGGCCAAATTCTTTTGACCGACAGATTAGGGAGCTTTCCATGGAAAAGTCGTCTTCGCATTCACATTGTTGTGCTGAATTGAACTGGATTGACTTAGCAACAATAATGCAAGTTCTGTCACCTTCTTTATAGTTCTGAATCTACTATTATTAATAATATATATATATATATTTTTTAATTAAGTTCAAGTACTGTCAGCTGAGCAATAAGTGATTTTTCCAGACAATTAACTTTTTATAATACCTTGGTCGATCCCGAAGCCATTCTTCAATATTTTACAGATTTTGATAGCAAATGTTTTTTTGGGTAGTTTACTAAGTTAAAATTTAAAATCTGAATATGATTTTTTCCTCTTAGTCTAATGGATAAGAGGTCGATTGAAAGTTACATTGACTTAGATTCTATCCCATCATTCCTCTCCCTCTTGGTAAGGATATTAACTTTTTTTTATAAAAAAAAAATTAAATCTTAATATTTTCAAAATTTAATGATCTTTTATTAATTAGTGATTTATAAATTTAAAAATTTTTAAATTTTGTTATAAATTGACGGTTTATTTTATACTTAGGAGATAAAATAACCGCTCCTAAACTTTATCTTTAAAAAAAAAATTTTTTTTCCTTTAATCCAAGCAAAAAATGCCAAGATTCATTGTAACTTGTAACTTCTTTTTCGTTTCATTCTTGCCCAACCCCAATGGACTATAGATTAGACTCGTGACTCTCACCGAAAAGTTAATGATAGGCCCAATCCTGGTGCAAAGTGAAGGTTACGGCTCAAATAAAATCGTCTGTGATTTTTAATTTTAATGATCAATATTTAATTAATAATAAATTTTAATTAAAAAATTATTAATGATTGAATATTGGTCATTAAAATTTAAAATTTAAAATTCAAAATTATTTTATTATGCAATGAGAGTTCACCAGTATTGAAAAAAGTCCTTTATTAGTAACTTGGTATATATTCTCTAATTCACTTTTTTTTTTTTTATCACAAATTTAAACCTTTCCTCTCTGGATACTATTATTTATCCAAAAAATTGGTGTTGCATTTTATTAGTTAATACATTATACATTGCTACCAAGTAAATTATATTCAAGGTTATTGAACTTTTACTTAATTACATTTACATAATTAAATTATTTAGTTAATTATTTAGTTTTGAAGGTAAAAAAAAAAAAAAAAGCTTATGCAACAACTTAGGTGACCCAAAAAAACCTATCATGTCATTTTTTATAATTTATTTAAAAAGATTTTTAATAAAGTGATTAAATTTGATATGGGAATTAAAATTTAATAATTTTATTGAAAAAAATCAAAGTTTAATGATTATATAAGAAATGAATAAAAATTCAATGATCTTAAGTGTAATTTACTCCATCTATTCGCGTGTTTGCATATATGTGATATTTGATTAATAGTTGGTTGGCTAAGAAACAGGAGGATTAATAATGTAAGGGAGTTAATAATAATATTAGCGTATGAAATTGATAGAGTTGCTGTAACCTACCCTCTTAAAGATACAACCAAATTATTCACAAAAGACATGCTTAAAGAGGTTTTCTATGTTCCAATTAATTATGGCCTCGAATTATTGTTTATTATTATTATTATTTATTTATTTATATGAAGACAAAATCATCATAATGATCACTCTTCAAAGTCCAAATCCTCCCCCCGTCCTTCACATGCTCGGTCCCACCTCTTCTTTTCTATACACTCACTCACCAATATATTTTCCCTTCTCATTTCTTTTAAATTTTCTTTTTAACTTTTGAATTAAAAATAACTAACTCTTTATTTAATTTTATTTATGTAATTATATATCAATTTTAATGTGTATTGGATAATATCATGGATTTTACATTGTCATTAAAAAATAATAATAGCAGTTACAAAAAATAATTATGTTAAATATAAAAAATACAATATAAATATTATTAGATTTGTAAAAAATTTAGATATTATTGATAATATAAAAAATAAAATGATATTTTGTTTTTAAAATTTTTTATTTTTTGTGGATATTAGATGAAATTTAAAGTCTTGAATTTCATCTTAAATTTTAACTCTCTACACGAATAATAAACCGGATGTTTTTGTCAAAATTTTTTTGCTTTTTGGTGTACAAAAAAATAATAAGAATGGTGTGTTTGACTCAATGTGTCATTTTTTCTTATTAGCAGCTTTTATGGGATCGGTGTCTGGAAAATTTCTCCCAAGTGCCAAACGTGCCCTTACCCACCCCCGTCTGAAGAATTCCTCATGTGCTTGGCCCCTAATCAAGCGCTCTTACCACTTACCATAATCACCAAAGCGGCACCACGCTCCTCAGAAGCGCGTGTATGACACAAACGCTTCTCGTGTTTGAACAGAGACAGACTAAATTCACTGAAACACAGCAATCACCAAATCTCCGAATTAACCAAATTTTTTAACTCCAATCATATCTAGTGCATTAAATGACTGGTTTACTTGCGAATTGAAAATCTGACCGTAGAAAAAAGCCACTTATGACAAATTTGATGTTAACTCCGAATGCTCTCCGTGTCAAGCTGGCAACACTGTCTCCTTCCAGTTCTCCTCTACTCTTCTTCACTTCTTCTCTCTTCATTATCCCATTTTTCGTTAACCTAAGAAATTTCCCTATTTTCATTGAAATACCTTAAAAAAAGATTCCTCAATCTCTATGCTCTAACAGAAAATTCCTCCAAGAAAGGATAAAAGGAATAAAGAAATTATGATTCCTTTAACTCCTTCCGTATTTCTTCACTTTATTTTCATCTTCGCAGTTGTCAACGGCGAGCAGGATTCTATTTACGAGATCCTAAAGTCCCATGGGCTGCCCAAGGGGTTGCTTCCGAAGGGGATAACCCGATTTGACTTCGACGATACGGGCCGGTTCGAGGTTCATTTGGATCAGGCCTGTAATGCCAAGTTTGAAAGCGAGTTGCATTATGATAGAAACGTTTCGGGGACTTTGAGTTACGGGCAGATCGGAGCCTTGTCGGGGATTTCGGCTCAAGAGTTATTTCTTTGGTTCCCCGTTAAAGGGATTCGGGTCGATGTTCCGAGTTCAGGTCTTATTTATTTTGACGTCGGTGTCGTTTCTAAGCAGTTTTCATTGTCGTTGTTCGAAACGCCAAGGGATTGTTTGGCGGTTTGGGATTTTGAATCCAGTGATTCGATTCGAGATGGCAAGTTATTAGCTGAAGCAATCGCCGAGGTTCAATTTTTATGCTCCCTTTGATATTAGTCCATTAATAATTTGTGAAATACAAGATAATTGAATAGCTGAATCTAATGCTTCTTTATACAATTTGTAGAGTCAATCTGCGAAACTTCGATATGAACTTGATCAGGAAAGTTTTGAGAGGAACGAGGTGTAGAAGGGTGGACAAAAGAATTTGTGCAATAGCTCAATCAGTTTAGCTATGAAGGGTATTTTGGGGCTCTGGTCCCCCCACGTTGTAAATTTTCGTCGTAGAGTCTGCTCTAGGTGGTCTTTACGCTTCCATCCTGTGTGCTTTGCTTGCGTTTTTTTTTTTTTTTTTGTTCTCTTTATTCTATATAGCGCGGAGTCGAAGACAAGCCAAGTTCGGCCGGCTCCTGTCTATGCGAGGATGGCCAATGAGGAGAAAATGGAAGATTGGAAAACTGTACTTTTGATGATCGACGTGGTTGGTTTACACTATGGAAGATAAAATGGAGATGGGAGCATTTGGTCGGCGATTTCAGGTAATAAAATCTACGAAGTTTTATTCATATGTTAAATTTTGATTGTATTATGAATATAAGCATGGTTTTTAAATTGAGTCTCTTTCTGTTGTAGTAAAAAATTTAGATTGATGAGACAAGATCACCTTCATGAATCAATCATGATAGTTCAATAATAAAAGTATCTTGCTTCATTTCCTGTATTTACTGCTTGGTTAACATTTGAAAGGCCTTTGTATGCTTGAATATTGTGTTTCAGTTGTTTTGTTGAATATTTTCTGATCTTGAGTTTCCCCTGTTCCGCATATGATATGTGTGTGCTATGAGTTCTATAACCTATATAATTTCAGTGATGAGTGAAATGGAGGGAAAATATGGGTGGGCATACTGAGGGCATTGTTATTTGATTGTTTCTTTGTTTTAACTTTTCTTTAAGGGACTTATACTTACATTGTTATGCTCAGGTCTAAACTTCGATGGAATCTGTTTTCGTTGTCAAAGTTTGAACAGGGGCTTGTAAGTTGTGACTTTGTGTAGTGATGGCCAGGGGAGTATATTTCTCCCAAGGATTTTTGAACTAGCACTATGTGTCCAAGAAAAATTTTGAGTTTACTTTTTTCCTTTTTATTTTCTTTAACTTTTGGAAGGGTTGTTAAAGCTTTGCGAAATTAGTGAACTTTTGGGTATCTACCAGAAGGGCTGTCTTGCCATATGCTTATTTTCTAAGCATGCCATGAAAGTAGTATGCAGCTTTAAAAAATAGCTTGTTTTAGTATCTAAGTTATTGGATTTTGGATCGGTTAATATCCAGAATCAGAGAATTATTGCATCATGGAGCTTGGTGAGATTGAGTTTTTCTGAATTTATTAAGTTTGTAATCTTCTCTTCTTCATCCTTGATTATCCATTTCCACCCCCTCACACCTCCCAATGTGAAAGCATGTAGATTGCCATATTAGATACTGGACGCATACCAATCGTGTAAGCAATCACTTCTTTGCCTTGAATAAATTGGTAGTGAAATGTTTAATAAGGAATTGGATGTACCTACTCTATAAGCAGTCAAGCTTGGAATGTTTCATTTGAGGATGTTTGAATTGGGCAAACCTGCTGCAAACTAGTGTAAAAATTGGGTCTACTCTGTCTTGATTTCCTCTTTGTAAAATTTGTGGTTTGCCTATACTGTGCGCATAGGCTTGGCTGATCCTTGTCAGATGCCCTTTGAACTAGGCCAATTAACCATCATTAAATTTGTTTGGTAAAGTTGAATGTTGTCCCTTCACTGCCCCACTTCTGTCAAGGACACTGTTTCTTCTTCACATTAGATGTAGATTTCTCCTTTGCAGTCCCACTTTGAAATGGACACTCCAAAAAGCTGTCTTTTCATCGTCTGATGGGGTTGTAGTTAAGCAAACATTTTTTTTTTCTTTTCATTTTCTTTTGTCATTATTTTGTTCTGATAGGCAAGGTGGAGCTAATAGGTACAAATTTTTAACAGTTAGATGTTGGTTATGGAAGAATGGAAATTGATAAACCATTATATCAATAAAATCATCCAAAGAAAGGCTTGTTCTCAGTTTACAGCTCTTGCTGTAGAAGAAACAGAGGTATACCTTACAGTTGTTGAATAAGTGAATTGATGGAAGTGAATGCGTTATGGTTTGAAACATCTCGACTTTGAATTGAGATACTGGTACTGATCCAGCAAACTTGTGATTTCATCCTTACCAGCTGAGTACGGTCTGTAGAACAATTCTTTATTTACTTTAGAAACAATATCTTCTTCATTTAATATATATATATATATATATATTTTTTTTTTATATATGCTTTGGTGATGTCATCTTGGCAAAACTGACCTCTGAATTGAGAAGCATGGATTGGTTGGGGTTTGACCAGCCAGCTTGGCGGGTTGAATTATACTATATGGCCTGTGATGATCATCAATGCATCATGTGCTACCATGTGATAGGCTATTGAAACCACAAATCTAATCTATGCATTGTATTGCAGTGGTAGTGTTATTTGTGATTGTGATGGAATTCCCTAGCTCTTCGTGGAAAAGGGTCTTGAAAAGCAATTCCGAAAGGATTTGTCAATAAGGTTATTCTCGCTTGCCTGAAAAAAAAAAAAAAAGGAAAATGAAGTAGAAATAATAATTTTCATTCATTCAAATTAGAGGTATAAATAATACATTAAAATTTGTAAGTTATTCGAATTTAATTTGAATAAAATTTAAATTTGATTTGATTATTATTAAGTTGAATTTAAGTTCGAGTAATTTAATTCATCGATTGAGTCGAATTTTGAGTATTTTTATATCAGATTCGAGTAGTTTGTGAGTTTAATCAAATTTTTATATTTAAATATATTTTTATTATTTTAATTAAGAAAATATTTTAAATTTAAGTTCGAATTTGAGTATAAATAATTAAATTTTTATCAAATATAAAAATTAAATTTTATTTTACATGTTAATAAAATATAATTAAAAGAATTCGAATAATTTAATTTTTATATCGAGTTTGAATTAAAAAAATAAAATTTAATTAGAATTTAAAATAAATTTTAAGTCTGAATTTTAAATCAAATTTAAGTTTAAATTTAATATTATATTATTTTGAATTTGAACGGTTATATCTCTAATTCAAATCGGCTGAAGCCAAGTAGCATAAATCGAGGGCATAATTCTGCTTTTTGTCTACCGTTCTTATGATGTCTTCCTGTCATAGCGAGTTTTTATTTGCATCAGGTTTTTCTGTACGCACCTTTTTTTAAAGTTATCTTATATAAAATTACTTAATTGGCTTTTTTTTATTTTTAATAGTCTTTGGATATTCATATAGGATAAGTTATAAAACTTACGGAATACAAAAATCTAGTAAGTTAAATAATCAGTCTCGTAAAAACTTTGAACTCTGAAACTCAAAAATTGAGTAGAAGAAAATAGTCTTGTATCATGCAAATTTTCGCAATACTATAAAAAATATTATTTGTTCAAATAATTATAAACGTATTTGTAAATTGATAGATAAAAATAATAATTTTAATCAAAAGAGTATTGATTACAGCATGTGGGTCTTAGAAATTTTTTTTTTTATTTCAGTAATATGAGAGAAGGAAAACGATAAAATATTTTAAATGATAGTATAGCATGTGGGTCCTAATGAGATTTTTAATTCATTTAAATGATATTCTTAATGAGAGTCGAAAATTTTTAGAAATTTTTGGATATCTAAACTCAACTTTTAAAAAAATTTAAGAAAGAATAATAAAGTAATTTTATTTAAAAATAATTAAAAAAAAAGATTAGTAGAGAAAAAAAATAATGATGCGAATAGAAGGCCCTATCATATTGTATAGATGATATTTCAGTATGTAGATTGTTACCTGTTTGTTCGCAAGAGAAAAAAAAAGTAAAAAAAATATGGGCATTAGAGTCGTGCCTGCTGACTTTTTATTAGAAGAAAGCCAAGTTCAAAAAAAATATTTATTTAAGTATTTAGTAGCAAATAAATTAATGAAAGACAAAACAAGACTAAGATGAATTTTATTTTCACATATATATTATATATATGCACTTTTATCAAATACTACAATTATTTTAATACCTTTCATCTGGTCACTGAGATCTTCATGAATTGTACTTAATAAAATTAGAGTTTGTTTTTAATATATTATTACATGTAGAGTTTTTTAAATTCTACACTTGAATAATTAAAATTTTGATAATAAAGGCACAGAAACTCAATTTCTTTATATAATAATAACTAGCTTTTTTAACCCGTACAATGTACGAAATTTTTATTAAAATTTTCATAATTTTAAATTTATTTTTTAATTATTTATCTAATATATAATCATATATTTATAAATGTTAAGTTACAATTAAATGATAATTTATATATAATATATTATAAAATGATATTGTTCATCTAAAGGAAGTCTAAACTTTTATAAATTTTCAATAATTATAAAAATCTTTTTTTACATTTAAAAATATTTTCTTCAATTTATTTGCTAAATACTAAAAATTTTGTTACCACTTTTTTCTTGTTCAATAAAAAATCAAGAATCAATATTTAACCAGTTAACATTAATAATTGTTTTTATTATAATGTTGATTAGATAGTGCATATGTATATTTAATTGAACAACAAATCACAATTATTAATTTTGTTATAATCATTTGCATTTTATTAGTTCTTATTTTTTATATACTTCAAGTAATTATTACACAAATATATTGGGTTAACAATTATTTATATATATGTCAACAAAATAAAATTATTTTTTTAGATATAAGGGAAACAATAATTCTTTATGTTATGCTTAAAAACTTTTGTTTTAATATTTTTTTTATTTTTAATCATTTTTAATATAATTGATAGTATTTTTTGTGAGTTAGATATGGTAGTGATTATCATTCTTCTCATATCATCCATTATAAACAAAAAAAATTCAATAATAAAAAAGTATAGCAAAAGAAAATAGAGAATATAAATTTACATATTGATTTATCAAGATTAAATATATATAATAATAAAAGCAAATAGGCTAATAAATTAATAGAGAATAAAAATATTGAAGAAATGAATAAACCAAAAAATATATATAATACAAAAAGTTAATTATAATCAATATAAGCAAAATTAAAAAGAAGTTATGGACTAAAGCGAAACAAATAAATTAACCAAACATATAATATAAAAATATTTGAATTAGAACATAAATAAAACATTATATTTGTTTTCAAAGTAAAAAGCATATTTTTATCTAACTTTTTTATCAACATTCAAATATCTTATATTTTCATATAAATATGTAAGCTTTTATTACTTTAAAAATACATGCTTTTCTAGTTAATAATCAATTAACTTATCTAAAAATATTAAATTTAAATAATCTATTAAATAATTTTTAATTTTTGATAGATTTTGATTCGAATTTAAATAATTATCTAAAAATATTAAATTTAAATAATTTATTAAATAGAATTATTTGACAAAAAATAAAATTTTATTAAATATATATATTTGAAATTACCATTAAATTTAAAAAAAATATAAATTATGATTTAATATATTTGAATTTAAATCTTATGCAAAAATTTTAATATTAGACAGATATTGATTTCAATTTAAATAATTATCCAAAATATTCAATTTAAATAATTTATTAAAAAATTTATTTAATAAATAAAATAATATAAATATTATTCTATGTGTCATTAAAAGATATTATCCATCTAAGTATTCATATAAGTAATTTTGATTATGTAACTTTATATGTTATAATAATATATATATATATATATATATATATATATTAGATATGCCTATTACATCTAACAGTTTTATATGGTACGAGGATCAAATTCAAAATTTAACTTTGTTTAAACCAGGTAAATGATAGAAATTAAATTGTAATTTAACCAGACAAAGATTAGAAATAAAAGATGGATAAATTTGAAGAAAAAAAAAAAGAATCCAACGATAGACAAAGTATAACTAATAAGGGGTAAGAGGGAGAATCAGAGATATTTCTAGAAGGAAACAAAACAGCAAAAGAAACAATGTTAGGCTTGCATGGACATGGACTGCCTTGATCATCTCAACCTTTTCAAACTGCGTTCGTAACTGCAACGTATCTGCGACACGTGTCTCGTGATTTTTGGCCCTTCATTTATTACCTTGGACAGGTTTTCTGGTGTACCATCGTTGGGTTTATTTCACGTGGTATGCCCTCAAATTAAAGCATAATATTGTTTGTTTCTCCATCCTTTTGTCATAATTCAATTATGCTCTTCCTCCTCCCAGTAGAGTGGGTTTTGCCCTAAGTGGCATTTAGTATGGGTGATTGCTTCAAATTTTATGATAATTTAAATCAATATGTTTGATAAAAATTTGATGATCTTTTTATTATTATAAAATGTTAATTGGTGTCAAATAACACTAATTAATATTATATTAAAAAATTATAATTAAATCTCTAAACCTTTGGTTTAGTAATTAAAAGTGTTTGAAGAGAGACTAAGAATTTGGTTTCGAACCAAATTTACCTTTTTTCACTTACTTATATCAAGGTTTTGTCTTCCTGATCTAATAAAAAAATTATAATTGATACATTGTCTTATTTTATCTTAAAATTAATAAAAATAATATAATAAAAACAAAAATTTTTTTAAAAATAATATTTTAGCTATCCTTAAATAATTCCTATAACTACAAATTAATCAAATCCTATGTAATAGTGATAGTTCTAAATTATGGAGAATAATTTTATTATCATTTTGAAGTGATTTAATTTTATTAAAAAAATGAGAATTCTTTTATCCAAATTGAATGTGAAATTATGAAATTATTTTTATTACATTAATAAAAATAATGTAATAAAAACAAAAAAAATTTTAAAATAATATTTTAGCTATCCTTAAATAATTCCTATAACTACAAATTAATCAAATCCTATGTAATAGTGATAGTTCTAAATTACGGAGAATAATTTTATTATCATTTTGAAGTGATTTGATTTTTATTAAAAAAATGAGAATTTTTTTATCCAAATTGAATGTCAAATTATGAAATTAATTATAAATAATATATTAATTATCATTTTGGTGTATACATTAGAAAGTAAACGTTAATCTCTCTCTCAAAAAAGAAAGTAAATATTAATGGAGAAACTTGTAGATCGATTTGGTTTCGTGAGTTGCGCTTGCTAAAAATGGGCAAAATTTGAATTTTCTTAAATTGATTACTCGTTTTATTTCTACAAAAGAAAAAAATATGGGAAGATGATAGAAAGATGTAACAAATAAAGGACTCCATTGCAAATATCCTTAAAAGACTTTGACACAGCCTGTTTGACCTCGTCATCACCGTCAATTTCCAGAAAGAAGTAACGAACACCGACTAAAACTGTCCTATCAACCACCGTAAAACTTCCCTACTAAACATATATAAGTCAGCCCATCACTTGCTATCTCTTCACCACCTCTCGTTTCGTTTCCACACCACTCCTCATTACTAAAACCTTTCCGGCTGCCACCACCTCTCTCCCGCGCCGGCCATAACAGGTAAAGCAGATTCAATTCCCTATTGAATACGCTAAAATGACCTCAATTACTCCCTTTCTTTCTCTCGCAGCTCCCCCTACCACCGCCTTCACTTCGAAACCGAAGCAGCTCTCAATCCCAGCAAAACTAGCGACGCCGTTTTGTTGTTGTTATTCGAATGATGGTTTGAAGCTGCGTAGGAGGAAGGGTTATTTTATTACTAACAAAAGTAATGGAGGAGGGTTGTTTGTATTTGCGTGTTCGACGACGCCGTATGTGCGGAGAGTTGCGTCGCAGAGGTTTTCGTTTGGAAATAACGCCGGTGGTGGGGCCAAGCAAGTAGCAACGAAGGGTGATTTTTCGCAGGTTTTGTCAGCAGTGCTTCCTTTTGTTGTTGTTGTTACTGCTGTTGCTGCTCTTGTTCAACCTTCCACTTTCACCTGGTAAACTTCTTTTTTTTATTTTTTTATTCCTTTTCTCTTTGCATTTTTAATCAGTTTTTGATTAACTATATTCTTAAGTCTTTCTGGGTTTTCGTTTTCTGTGCAAATTTCACTTATTCTTTTGCTTTGTAGTTCTGTAGTGTATTTCTTTGATCCCATGTTTGGGATTTTTTTTTTTTTTGTTTCGAAAATTAGTTCCTTTTGGAAAAGTGCTTTATAAATACTCGAAAGCTTATTATTTTAATTGTTGGTACTATGAAAAATCGGTATTTCTTGATTTATATATGCTGGTTATTTATTACAGTTTATGGCTTTTTGGCTTTTAGTTGAATGGTTTTTATGTTTTCTTCAAGCTTTCTAGTTTGACAAGTATTAATATATATATTTTTATATTCTATTTATTTTTCTTTCAAAGTTGTCTTCTCTTTCGAACCAGAAATGCCAATTGTTTATTACACAATAGACAAAGATTCTGCAAGGAAAAAATGAAAAATGAGACTGCTTCAACATGTTTGATTTAAAGTTCAGGAGAGAGTACGGTTCTTAGCTTAATATTGTTTAAAAAATTACTATATTTGCTCCATTTTTTGTATGAATAATGGTATAAGCTTTTCCATTTGTTAAAATAATTGCAGGGTCTCGAAGGAATTGTATGCTCCTGCTCTTGGTGGGATTATGTTGTCTATTGGAATTAGACTTTCCTTTGATGATTTCGCACTTGCTGTCAAAAGGTAAAAGTATCTCATTTCTCTTATATCATGTGCAGTTTCATATAGTTGCTAATTATGTTATTTAATATGTTCAATTTGAAACGTGCTCCTTAAATTTGCATATTTTGTTTCATTGCAGACCTTTACCACTATCCATCGGATTTATTGCACAGTATATGCTCAAACCAGCTCTTGGGGTTTTAATTGCAAAGGCATGCGGCATGTCTCCTATATTCTATGCAGGTTTTATCCTCACATCTTGTGTCGCAGGGGCTCAGTTATCTAGCTATGCTAGCTTTTTGAGCAAAGGAGATGTGGCAGTGAGTATTCTTCTCACTAGCTTTACCACCATTGCCTCAGTGCTTGTCACACCTCTTTTAACTGGCCTTCTCATTGGGTCTGTTGTTCCGGTTGATGCTGTTGCCATGTCAAAGTCAATTTTACAGGTAATGTGACGATTGAACAGATATATATAAATATATATACACACACACACACACACACACTCAAGTAAGCACTTTTGTTTCTTGGCGAAATGTAAAAGTTTTTGCTTGGTTTTTTTTCCTTAGGTTGTTCTTGTTCCTGTCACTCTTGGGCTTGTGCTCAATACCTATGCAAAACCGGTGGTCACTATCCTTCGACCTGTAATGCCTTTTGTTGCAATGATCTGTACTGCCATGTGCATTGGCAGTCCTCTGGCATTGAATAGGAGTCAAATTCTATCAAAAGAGGGTCTTCAGTTGGTTCTTCCTGTTTTGACATTTCATGCTGCGGCATTTGCTGTGGGATATTGGATCTCAAAAATTCCTGCTTTCAGGTAATTTAAAACATGTGGGTTGAATCTTATGTAAGTTAGAAATAATCCTACTTGGTTTCTAGACTTTAAGCTTCCATGTCACTTGGTTTGTTTGATGGAAGACTAGGGGGATAATTCTTTGTCAAACTGTTAATATATCTTTTTATATTGGCCTCGTATTGAGGTTTCTGATACTTTCATGGTGTCTGCATTATGCTTGTTAGACATTAACTTATGATGAGAGCTCTGTTAGGGATAGTGATGTTTTTTCTCTATATAAGATTGGTCTCTGCCATACTTAAGCCTCCATAAATAACATATTCCATTTTCTTGTTCTGAATCAAGCATTTGTCTGAGGAATAACAGGTTGCCAGTTTCATAGAGATAGAATCATAATATAACAATTTCAGATTGTCAGATTTTTTTTTTCTTCTCTGTTTCTTAGTTATGGGAGAATATCAGGAATCTGTAACCTGAGGCATCAAAACTCTGTATGCTATTCATCCATCTTTGTGGTTGTAATCCCCTTGTACTGTGCTCATAAAATTTTGAATGACACCAAGGAGCATTAGGATAAATGTTGCCATTAAAATCAAAATGTGGGCTGTGACCACAATATTTTCTTTCTTTAATTTATCATTTATGGTATCTATTTCTTCATAATTGTTACAATTTTCTGACTTTGTAGAAACATATGAAATTCATTAAATTTCACACGTTAAGAAAAAGTTCTTGTGGAAAAATAGCTCTGATCAAGCATTGTGGTTCGAATCAGTTTTTTAGAACATTTGGTAGATAGCTCCAATATTACAATTGGAGCATGGTGAGTACTACCTTTCTTGGGTAGCGATGGAATCTTTTCTTATTTCTGTCTGCTTCATACCTTTCCAAGTGTTCTTTCAACCTCCAATTTTTTTGTTTTGAACCTGCAAAGGAAATGCATGCCAATCTGACAGAGAAGTTGCCATTCTGATTTTTAATGTTCCCCTTATTTCTTGCACCTTCCCTAACTGTTTGTCCCTTGAATCATCGCAATATCAAAGCATTTTTTGTTGTTGTTGTTTTTCTTTTACTCCAGAAAAATCGTTTTTATTGAAAATTTCTAATCTCTTCTAAGCCGTAGCATAGACAAAGATTCTTCCCCTTATAATAACAGTCAATTAGGGAATGCATGAAATAAAGTACAAGCTTGACCTCTGTTTGCACAAGAATTTTAGTCTACTGATTACAATTTATATATGGAACAATTTGACTTCTATTTTCAAATCTGTTTTTACTTGTTGATTATTTCATCGGGTCCATCTAATACCATGTGGTTAATGTGCCAGGCAAAGAGAAGAAGTTTGCCGGACAATTTCATTATGCACAGGAATGCAAAGCTCCACCATGGCAGGGCTTCTTGCAACTCAGTTCCTCGGGGGTAGTAATCAAGCAGTTCCACCAGCTTGCTCTGTCGTTGCCATGGCTATTATGGGTCTTTCTCTTGCCTCTTTTTGGGGCAATGGTTCCCGTATTAGAGATCTACCATCTCTACTCTTCCCACAAACTGGCTCTGCTGTCCAGGCTTAATGGAGCAACACTTGGAACATCTTCGAGGACTGAATCAAGCTAATCTTTTAATGTGCACAGAGAGATGATCGTATTATAACTGATCCTCATATTGAACATGATTCTCCGCTCAATAGAACAGAAGTGATGGTCCAGCGCAAGCTGGTCAAAAATAAAAAATGTTGTACAGTTCTGAAATTGGAGGAAAACATAGAAAAGGGAAAAATAACTGTTACCTAGGAGTTACTACCAGCTTCACCTGAAAGTCGCTAAAGTATGTAGAGATAAGGTATTACAGCATAAATCACAAAATATAGTGTATCAATCTGGATGTGCATTCTCTCTCTCTCCCTCCGTGTGCCACACCCGCCAACCCCTTCAGTCCTTCACCCCCCCCCCCACCAAAAAAAAAATAAAAATGCAGTGTATGCTGTTTCTTTCACATTAGCTAAACTCAGCAGGCCCAGAAACCATTACTGTTACTCGAAAAGTGCTTTAAATGGGCGGTTATTTCAAGCTTCTACGTAATGCAGACTTCTTTTACATCCACGCCAACAATTAGTGGAGGACTCTTTGATGATTAATGAAGTTCATTTCGATAAAATTAAAAATAATGGTAGTGATTGAAATTATTATTGTAAAAGTAAAATTAAAATTAATGATGTGATATGTTTGTGGATACAACAATAATTGTGAGAATGAAGTAAATTGTAATAAGAAAAATATAATTAAAAACATTTGTTTAAAAATTGTATAAAATAAAAAATTTAAATTATTTAATAATTATAAAATAAGTAATTAATTAAAATTTATTAAATTGTTTTTATATTAATAGTTTTATTAATAAATAATAAAAAATAATATATCAAATAATATTTTTATTATATTAAATTAATAAAATTATTTTAATAATTTTTAAATAAAAATCAAAATCAAAATAAAAAGGAAGTAAAAAATCAAAATAAAAAACGATAAAAATCAAATAAAAATAAAAAATTTTTGACAAAAAAAAGAGAAAATAATAATTTAAAAAAAAAGAAGAGAAGGCCAATCGACTGGCCTTAAACGCACTGATCATTTATATCCAAATGAATGTATGGTGCCATTTGATACACAAATTCTTAATAACTTCAGTTCACTGATGCTTGCTTTTTGCTCCCAATAGAAAGGTTTATTTAAGAATATAGAAAGCCATAGCAGATTTATCAAATCCGTTTCATTCACGGGAAAATGTCAAGAAGTCAGAGGATTACAGTTACTGCCCAATAGCTCATAGCCAGTTTAAGGTTTCTATCTGTAATCTGAATGAAATGGGGCCAATTGGAATGTACTAATAAACAGCCCAAAAGCCATCGGTCACTGTCACGATCCAATCTTTACATTTTAATGTGGATTCAACTCAGGTAATTGGTTTTTTGCCAAGAAAAAGAAAACCCGGGTAATTGACTGACAGTTTGAATGGAAATTTTCTGCTCAAGCTGCAGTAATATGTCGTTTGATTTTGGCTTATTAATGTCCAACACCATAGTTAAACCTTTTGAGGAGGAGAAAGAAACCCGGAAGTGATATTTACAAGTTATTATTAACTACAGCTCCTAACACAATTAGAAAGATGAGTTTCCGATTGGAAGAATTTTGGTACCCCAGGAACTCCAGTTAAGGAGAAAAAGGTGGACCCTGGAATAAAAATTCCAACTTTGTACCGCAATTATGGGCTACAAAAAATGCTGTTTCAACTTTCAAGGATATTTTCATCTAGAAAGATGAGTTGATTAGTCAATGACATGCCCTTTTTCTGTACCTTGCGCTGGACTTTTTCCCGTTGTTTACTGTTTGCATGGACAAGATTAATGTTAGGCTGGCTGTTGAAATATTCATTCGTTCCGATTTGTTGATGTAAAAATCAGTCCTTAGCTGTTTGCAAAAACATGACCACACATCTTGCTCTGTTTTTTTTTTCTTCCAAGAGCTATCCTCCTCTTTACCAATAACCTGTTTAGATCCTGCTGCCATGCATGCTCTTCATTGATTCTTTTTTTTTTTTTACTGTTTTATACTATCGGAATAACGCAACCTGCCTTATTTCTGCTTGCTTTCGAAACTTGTCATTAGCACTCATCTTGGGCTTAAAAATTGTTGCTTCGAGCAGAGACCCTTAGTGCTTGCAACGGTGGCAATCTTTGGTCCGCTGGTGAGTTCCTTGAATGCACTCTTGCAAATTAACTAGTATTTTTCCTTTTTTATTTTGTTTGATGCAAAAGAGTGGGAGATCCCAATTACAACCTAGAGACTCCTAACATATCCTCCTCTATAAATTAAGTAGTATTTGCTTGTTCATTTTAATCATTAGAAGGTTTTTATTTCCTTTTTTTTTTTTTGTGTATAAATATGCATAGAACACTTCAAATATTTCCGAATGTTGAAAGAACAAAATAATAAAGTCAAAATTATTAAGAGAAATTATTTGATGAAAATTTTTAACTCCATAAATAAGATTAAGATGTTGACACATATTTTATTTTTTTAAAATTAATATTTTTTTTATTTTATAAACATACATTAAAAGATATTAATCATGATATTAACTTCGCTTGTGAAATTAAAAACTTCACTATTAATTTATTTGATAAATTTTCAATTATTAATACTCATTCTTTTTCCACATTTTTTCCTAGGTTCCTCCCTTATAAGTATCAATTTGTTTGCCTTTTTTCAGACTTTTTTTTTTTTTAAATCAAACAATATTGGTTATTTTTTTTCAAAATTACCTTTATATGGCACTTGTTTTTTTCAATAACAATATTTGATTTTTCAAGGTAATGAAAGCTACTTGCCTTACCAATTCTATGTTTGTCAAATTATGCCAAACAAATTGGGATGACTAACTAGGGAATATACATTTTTTTTTTCCATCTTGAAACACCATATTGAATTTTTTTTTTTCCGTTGTCAACACTTCCCTCACAGCCTCAATTAATATCCAAAAAAACAGATCCTATTTTAATTTTTACATATTTTTTGGACACATATGGATATGGAAGTCTAAAGGGTGAGGAGAATTTAAATATTATAAACCTTATACCTTAATCCCCTAAACAAGTTTAACAATTTTTAGATATCCTACTTTGGAAAATGCTAGACGTACTCAACTAATACATTCATCTTACACACTGGTATGATTTTTTTTTCAAAATTTATCATAATTCATAAAATTTTTAATATTTTTCACTTAAGTCCCTAAAATTAAACTTAAAAAATTACATTTCTACAACTAAGGTTAATTGATTATATATATATATATATAAGAATTTGATTAAAGTTTATCCCTTGTATTTAAATAATTTCATAAACTTCTACAGCTAAGGTTAATTGGCTCTTTGTGACTTTAAAACCCACATCAATTATTGTGATACATACTTTCTACCAAGAAATTAGAGTTCAACAATTAATTAGCTAGCTAACCATTGCAACACACCTTGTTATTTGCTCGAGAATCGGCCATATTTCATGCAATATGTAGTACTTTTGGATGCAAGGAAGCTAAGAAAATGACTAGTTATAACTAAAGGGTAATAAAGAAAAGTAAAAATACTTTTTACTGACTTTTCAAATGAGATTTTTTTTGGACAAACATAAAACTCATCGGACGGAGAAAGTTTGTTTATTTGTTTTTTTTTTTTTTAAAAAAAAAAACGTTATTTTCTTTCTTTAAAAAAAAAAGGAAAAAGAAACGTTATTTTCTTTCTTTAGTTTTCACTTTTCAACCGAATGAAAACGCCATCATACATGAGAAATCACTCTAGCTCTTTCACCAATAAGGCCTTCGTTAAAGGGTAGAAAAATAGTTGTCTCAGACAATAAAGCGTAAAAGCCTAAAATAATAGTTTTACACCTCAAAGATCATCATTCTTCTCTAATTCCTCTGGCGTTTTTATCGAACAACCACATCTTTATTTCATTTTCCGAAAACAGTATTGTTTTTTTTTTTTTTCTGATTTTCCCAAAGTAGTGTCAAATATATATATATATATATTATAGTAAGAGTTGCATTTATATCCTTATTTTTTATTTTTTATGTTATATTTATTTTCATATTTATATTAAATAGGTATTTTAAATTTATTTTTATTTTAATTTTTGTGAATATTTAATGGATATAGGTAATATTTATATTTGTAGCTTTTTTTAAAAATAAAAAAACAAAATTTATTTTTATTTAGTATATTTATATAATTTTTAAATATATTTTTTAAATAAAAATATATTAATTTTAATTAATCTAAAATAACATTTATATTAATAAATAAATAATTTATTTACTGAATATATAAAAAAATACATAGGACATGGGTACAAATAAGGAGTACAGATAAAAGTAAAATATTTAATTCTTCATCAAATTTAAATAAAATTTGAATCCTCCGTAATGTTGCCATGTCAAAATATTTCAGTGTTAAAGGAATCCCATCCATCATTCACATGCTAGCTGTCAAAATCTTATAGTAATCCTAAAGTAATTCAATCATTAATATTGCTGATTAATTTTGGATTAAATGCGTCTTCAATCAAGGTATCAAAGTATTTGTATTTGTATTGATATTCATATATACATACATATATATATATATATATATATTCGGAAAGTAATTTTTATCATATTATTACATTATTTTATTGTTAAACCTTTTAAATTACGTGATGATATAATAAAAATTTCTTCTTACCTATAATAAAGCTCCATTAATTTGCAATAGGCTTATCCTCTTCCTACATAGCAGTGAAAACATGCCTGTATGTCTATATATAAAAAAAAATGCTTGTATATACTTGTGACATTTATTTTCTCGAAAAAAGATTGTATATTCTAAAGACTTAATTAATATTTATGTTCTAGTTATAATTTAAACTTAAATAATAAGAAGATTAAGCTCATTTGCTAAGTAATTTTAACTGAATTATTTTTAATAAAATATTTCCTTAAGAGATTGATATTTATACTAAATAAGTTAGTTGTATTTGGTTAAGATTTAAAAAAAAAAAAAAAAACTTCTTAGTATGTATATACAAGTTTGCTTTTGTGTCTATATATTTAATAGAATATGCATGCTATTCATAATTTTGCATTAGGTTTTCAATATTCACATAAGGCTGACTCAAGTGATTTTTTTTATTATGTGAAATTTATGAAGTTTCAGTTGGAAATGATTAAACTTTATAACAGAAAACTATTGAAACTGATAGAATATTAAGATATCTTTGTTGAATACATAAAGGGAATATATAAAAACTTTCACAAATTACATCTATATACATAAATCTTAATTAATGGTAGCTGAACAATTAATGAAACTTTTATTATCATTTTTTTTCTGGTGACATACCTACTTAAAATCAAACATATGTTAAAAATGGTAATCAAAATTAATAGAATTTTTATATAATGATTTATTCCACAAGATTCATTAACCTATATATATATATATATATCACTAATTTGATCATCAATTTAACTTTCATTTACAAACTTCATGAAATTCTTAAATTCTTCTAATAATAATATAAACTTTTTACTATAATATTTTAAGCATTTTATATAGAGATGCTAATAGGTAGGGTACGGAAAAGGTAGAGCATTTCTCATCCCCATTCTCTAATTTTTATATTATACCATCATCGTATCTATATTCAATGAGTATTTTAAATTTATCTCCATCCCATATTCGCAAATATTTAAAATGGTATGAATAATCCTCGTAAACATAATTTAAAAAATAATAATAAAAATATGTTTTTTATCTTTTTTTATCTTGATATTTAGGTTTTTTTTTATAAATATATATTAATATAATTTTTAATAAAAATATATTAATTTATTTAATTTAAAATAATAATTTATATTATTTAATAAAAAATTATTTACTAAATATATATAAATATATATGCAAGGTACATGTACGGGGCGAGTGCAATATTTATTATCCTCATCTCTTTATTTAATAAAAATTTAAATCCATACTCATCCTTCTATTTATAATGTAATATCCATCTCTTTTCTCATCGGGTAAAAATGGGGTTCCCCATAGAGTATAAATAAGATTGACATCTCTAATTTTACATATTATGTTGTTAATTAGAATATTATTACTATAAAATTTTTGTGCATATTTCCCTTTAATTTCCCCAAAAAATACCAGTACCCCTCATTTGAAAAAAAAAGGGGGCCTTTTAAATAAAACAACCTATATATTAAAGTTTCTTTTTTGAAGTAATAGATACTTAATTACTAGGTTTTTATGTTTCTAGCCAGTCACTGATAAAATGGAGCTGTAAATTTTTTTTCTTACACTAAAATTTACATAGAAAGCTAGTAAATCCCATACAGTATATATATAAACGAACTTGAACACTTTTTTTTTTTTTTAATGTTTAAGTTGGGGAACGGAGGATTTGAGCATGAAAGCTTCTTTTGTGGAGGTATACTCTATTAAAAAAACGAAAAAAAGAGGAATATAATAGGGCTGATAAGAATTAGGGTTTAAAATATCAGTTTTATGGCACGCTTTCAATCCTATATATAATTAATAAAAGTTTATTATATTTTAGAAGAGTTAATATGGCAAATGTTGATGGTCTATACCAACCCAAATATATACTCATGACCAAATACCTGGCTATAAAGGAGAGGATTTCAAAGGTAAAAAAATCAGTGAAAAAAAATCTTGGATTCTCATGTAGGATAAAGTAATTAATGAGAAAGCAAAGGAAGAAAAAGGGGAAAAATTATGGGAAAAAATCATATGCTTTTATTGCAATTGATACTGTAGCTTGTGAATTATCCGAAAAAAAGATACAGTAGATTGTAGAAGTATCCAAACCAAAGGCAATAATCGAGGATAGTCAGTTTTTCCCTAGGAGTTTATTGTATAGAACTGTAGGATTAACATTGTTGACAAAAATCAAGGAAATTTTGTTTTCTTCAGCTTTCATTCAGTTATAGTTATCTATTCTTTCTATTGCGGTTGAAGATATTTATTTATATTTTGGTTGACAGAAAAAAAATCACAAAGGAAACGCAAATCTAATAATGGTAAGAAGCATGTGAGAATAAAGGAACATTCCATTTAAGTACTTTTGAAGCAAATTGGATGACAACCCTAAACCAAAAAAGTTTGAAAAAAAAAACCCCCAAAAAAACATATAGATAGGGTCCTGTTTTTCATATTCTAACCTGAAAAATGATACTAAATAAATAAAGGAGCATAATAATCGATTACGTGGACCCATATACCTCTACTAATTGGATGCCTTTATAGTTTATTTTGGCATTATTGAAAGAAAGAAAGAACATTCTACTTTTGAGTGTAATTTATTTTTGATTTTTAATTTTTAGTTTTGGCTTTGTTAATTTTTTATGTGGTTGATATAACTTATATAAGATACAATTAAAGAACATTTGTCTTACCTTAATATAGCTATCTTGATGTATACTCCTGCCAAACTAAGAAAAAAATCAGTTCATTTTCTCTTCATTGAACAATATTTCTAAGAGAGAAAGGAAATTAAGGTGGAAAATGATAATTGATCAAACAAAAATTTAGAAACCCAAAAACAAGAAAACAAAAGAAGTTAGGTCTAGAAAAAAAGCACTCAATTATTGCAGGAAATGACTCCAAATTATATGTAAAATAGAGGCATATAGGAATAGAAATTACCAACATTATACTATACAAACAGTTTATAAAAAAAAAAGAAAAAAGAAAAGATAAAAATATCCCAATATATATCTCACAGAGATTGTGCAAGTTTCTTCACTTAGCACTTACTTTCTGTTTAGAAACTATTTAAGCTGGCCATAGATCTGCCCTCTACAGAAAATAAAATACTTACCATCTCTGTATAAACCATTTTTCCTTTTTAACAATATGTTCCTGTCGGATTTATAATATCTTTATTTTATATATTGATGAAATTATAAGAAAATATAATTATTCAGAGAGAGTAGAAATGGGCAATTTTTCTCATAACCTGTACCTGGGTGGTAAGGCACTTTATGTAATGCGCAGTCTCACCCAACAAGTTGCATAAATCCATGGCTTCACCACCTGGAACAAGCTTTCTTAGCTTATCTGCTTGGACAACGAACCCAACCTCATCTTGCCCAGTTGTAGTGTTCTTGTTTTCTTTTTCATGACTTGTTTTGGCTTGACGAGATTTAATAATAGTACTAGTCCTGACTGATGATCTCCTGCTTGAAGAGGCTTGACGACAGGAGTACCGGCTTCGAAGCTTCCAAAGCATTGCCCTACTCCAAGTTCTCCTCGACCTAACCGACCAAGCCATGGACTTGTCAGCTGCAACCTTAATTCTTCGATAACGTTGGAACATCTCTCTAGGAGAAGATGATGAGATAGGTTTCTGACCATTTATTTTAGTCAGAGCCCGAAGAAACCTTGTGGTGAACCTGGATTTTAAAGAACTAGGGTTCAGGTCTTGAGGGTTATTCATGGGGGACATATGAGTTGAAACTTGATAACTGGTTAAGAGAAAGTAGTAAGCTAGCTAGGGTTTTGTTTTGTTTTCTTGGGGGGATATATGAAGACTGATAAGAGATATAATTAACTGTCGTGGGCTTTGGCTTTTATGGATGGATCAAAGGGACAAATGAAATATCAGTTGGGGGGGTGTGGGAATTGAAGAGAAATTTGGTTTTCTGGCACAGAGCAGAGAGGCCGGTTGCTCAGAAGTGATCACAAGGACAAAAACAGAATTTTAGTTTCTGACTAATTCTCTGACACAGTATCTATATAGACCAACCAGACAACAAGAAAGACAGAGATGTGGCTAGGGGAGATTTCAAGAACAAAAGCATGTGAGGAGAATAAGGAAAAAGAAGAGAACGAAGGGATTGGAAATGTGAGGTGTAAAGAGGAAGGAGACTTGGGAATCAACCTTTGATATATACTATTATTATATACTATAATTGAATTTCATGTTTCTGCTTTCGTTTTCAGTTTGGGGTTTTGGAGGTGGGAAAAGTGAGTTTTGTGGGGCTGAAATTGCCAACCACCATATGAGCGCACATGGTTCCAGTTTCCCACTTGGAATTGTGGGGGCCTCTCTCTTTTCTTTTGGACTACTTCAATCTTCATCTCTCATTCGTTTTGCTCTCTCCTATATATTTGTTCTGTTGTGAATCCTTTTTTTTTCCCTAGTAATTTAGCTTTGAATGCCTTATTTTTGCTTATGATGGATTGTTGGTGTGTTATCATCATTCCCCCCTCCCCCCAAAAAAAAAATTTCTCCTTTTGTTGGCCAATTCGGAGAAATACTCATAGAATGACAGTGATGGGGGGGGGGGGGGGGGGGGTAATTAGTTGATGATGGCGAATATATGGTGGCAGCAGAAGTTGACATGGAGTGATGTGTTGAGGGTGGCGATGTCGGCATGAAGGCTAGGGCCAAATCACACAGACATGATCATCATTTTTTTCACTAGCTAGCTATATCCATTACTGGATCACATGTAAACTCAAGTTTGTCCTAACTGACTATATTCCATTCAACCCTCTAAAAAGTTTTTCTATCAGAAAGTTGTTTGACCACTCAATGAACAGTTCTAATTTGTTGTTAATTAGAGTTGTCATGGTGTTCTTGTTGTTTTTCGAATGAAAAAAATACCACATTAATTCAAAAAGATATAATTTTTTTTATGAGAAGAATTATGGCCATTTTGATTTCGATAGGAGACTTTACCGTTATATAATAGCACTCAACGTGAAAATTTTGTTCTGCTGTTGCTTCTACTATTTTGTGGATTATAATGTTTCAAATCATGATAAGAATATCGATAATTCTCGACTGCTGTCTATGTTATATGTATTTTTTTTTTTATTTTTGTTTCATTGTACCAATTAAGAAGCAGTACAATCAAACATTGACTAATTAGAATTAGTATGTTTTAATATTACAGAAACGCAAAGATATATCAGATATATATAAATATATGAGTGTGATGATAAAGTCTTCTGTTGATACATGAAGGGCAACTTGATGATATATTTTGTTAAAGTACAATACTTTTTAAACAATGATATTGAAAATTATGAAGAGCATGACAGAAAGAATAAGATCTCTAGGTATAGTCCCTCCCTCGAGCACTATCCCACCTTTCTCAACTATCTGCCCTTTTCTTCCTTCCTCTTCAATGTGTTGATCAGTCTATCATGAAAAGAAAAATTTTATACCTGAAACAAGCAAATATATCCTGGAAGAAGATGAAGAAAAGGAAGAAGAGAAAGAAAGGAAATAAAAGGGCAACTTTCTTGGTCACTGGAAAGAATGTTGTTGTAACTTGATATATCTGAAATCTACCTCCATTAAAGAAGACAGAAGGCATGGCTTTTTCTCAACTTATAAGAAGAGAAAATCAAGCATTAAGCCAAGCGAAATTCTCACAATATCATCAATCCATTGATGAGGACGAGTCAGGGATCATGGTTTTCCCTGGACCACAATCAAGTGGACGCATGTGTGAGGAAAATGACAACTTGCTAGCAAGCTTGGTTTCATTTAATTCATGACAACTTGAAACTGATTGTAACCTTCCAGTTTTGATCATCAAGTTCTTGCTTTTATTATATAATCATCTCCTTTGAATTTCATATATATCGCTGACCTTACTCAACAGTGAGGTACCAAAAGCTGAGAGTGAGAACTCGGCACACGTGCGCCGCCATGGCTAGTAGTGTGGTTACCAGGCTGGTGGCTGTTTTTTTTCCCTAGGGTTTAGCTAAGAAAAGTTGGGTGAGGTCTAACTACTAGGATTTTCAAGTCACGAGATAGGATAAATTAAAACTTGAAGAGGAAAGAGGAAGCAAATCAATGACTTTGATGTGAATTGTTTTATTTTTTGCATAAATAAAGATTGGCAAACAAATTTCCAATACTTTGACAAAACTATTGGTGACAGAATCATTTGGCTTGCCATCATACATTCATTCTTCTTCCAATCTCCTTATTCTTTTGATTATTTGGTACTAAAATGTATTTTTTATCTTGCAAATTTCGAATCTCCAATTCAAGATTCAACCATTAAAACTTTCAAGGTAAGTTATATTAACCATTAAAACATCTCCCTTTGCAGCATTTTGAGATTAGATACATGAATGAAATTATTTTCAGATTACAGCCCTTTTTAAAAAATAATAAAATAAACACACGTGTTTGAAGTTCATTCATTTATATTAAAAAGCACAAAATTTAAATTGAGTTTCCAAGATAAAAATATATTTGTGAAGTTCCTTAATTAAATAAACCCTAAATTTATTCATAAAATTCAAAATAAAAATAGCTGGTAGATATTGATAGAGCTTGTTAAATCAATTCTTATTTTTGCTTATTGGATGTCAACTATGGCATTCAATTATATATATTTATATATATGTGTGGATGATTACTTAATTTTCAATATTGTAACTTAGAACATTTAATGCTGCAAATAAAACATTCTATGCTGCCAAACAAACTTTTTGCAATAAGATAGAAAGTCCTGAGCAAGTTATTACAAATGGTTATGATTGCAATTAAACATTTATGAAAAATTTCATGCACATTCTTATTGTAAAATAAGTCTTCATGTAGCTTATTAAGATATAGCACATTTTGTTATATCAAAATGGTTGGCTCTGTAAAACATTAGTTAAAGCTATTGCAGAATAATATCGAATTTCTCATAGTATATATAATAACCTGCTTTTTCCTATATATAAACCATTTATTCTTCTTTAACGTGGTTTTAAATTAATTAAAAATTTTGTGATCAAACCACTTAGATTTTCTCTTTCAAAATCTCTCTCTCCCTACTTATAGCTCTTGTTGGCAGCCACATCAAATTCAGACCATGCAAAAGCTAGTCAGAAAGTTTCATGTTTCAATTTTAGTAGCCAATCCATCAAAGTGAATGGATATTCTTTAAGAAATTGTGTTTTGATATATTAATAATAAAATTTTTTAACTTCATAAACGAAATTAAAAGATTATCACATGTGTTACTACACTGATATAATTAAAAGTTAAAGAACAAAGTGACAGACATGCAAATATATATATATCAAAATGCAAGATCAGCTGGGTGGGGCCTGGAGGGTTTTTTTTTTTTTTTTTTTTGAGGGTGGCCTTCAAATGGGAAGAGAGGAACATGGTGGGGCTGGGCTTGCCTATAGTTTGATATACATCAAAGCTTTAGAATTAGACTCTTTAACCACCTCATAATTATGCTTAGTTTGAGATCAGCAGCATCCACATGCTTGCTTCCCCTCTTTTTTTTTGTTGTTGTTTAGGACCACTTTTTTTTTTTTTCTGTTAGAACTCCAAAACAGGTGTCATTTTAACATTGAAACTCTTAAATCAATGTCCCTATTTTGTTTAATCACATTAATTTTATCTGGGAAGTCATTATCTAAAAATTTTGTAATATATATTCCAAAGGCAGTCTGCACTTATGTTGCATGAATTACGCTGTCTTTTGCTGGGTCCAGCTTGTCAAAATTCTATTGACTACAAATGTATCAATTTCAATGCTTTCGTTATACAATTTAAAATTAACACTATGCATTTGTAACAATCTTGTTGTTAGATTATTCTACTCTTAAATTTAACAAGTTCAATTTTTTACAGTTTTATATACAGTAAAAAAAAAAAGTAACCATATACATTGTTAATTGCGTACGGTTAATGGATGTCAATAGACCACACTAGTAAAGGATAGTTATATGATTTTGTTAATAGGTGCCATTGGGACTTTTTTTTTAAAATTAGTTAATAATTTATTTATAATAATATTTTTTTATTAAATGCGGTGGTTGATAATTAATTAGTTGATTTTCAATGCATTGAAAAAAATATTATTTTATATAATAACTCTAAAAAGTGTTTTAAGGCATTCATTAGTAAAATCTTAAAAATATTATTTCATGGAGTAGTGCTTCTGTATGTTACACTCTTGTCCCTACTGTGGCAAACTTTTATTGGATAATTTAAAGGTGAGATCCATTGATTTATGTTAGATAAAGTTTTCATAAATACAATGTTTAAATTTAAATTAATGAAATTTAAAAAAAAAATAGAGAGTAAATTTAGAAGTAAAATTTGTGAAATTTTTAATTAAAAATCATTAAACAAAAATTATAATCTAAAAGGTCTTGTTACATATATACTAATTGTATAAATTTTGAAAAATTAATAAATTTCAATATTTTTTTTGATAGTTATTTTTAGTAATAATTTTGGTAATTTTTAATGTTGGATAAGTATTGATCAAATTTGAATTATAAATAATATTTATAATTTTTTTATTAAATTTTATCAATTTGGACGTTTTATTAAAATTTTAATTAAATTATTTATATTAGAAAGTTTTACGAACTTCGGCTAAAAAATTTTACTTAGATTTTTTTCCGACAAGAGGTAAGAACTAAAGTACAGGTTCAAGAAACATTTTCATTCAAGATCTTGAAGATTACTATTAAAGTTAAAAGGGTATTTTGAAAACTTAAAGACCAGCAGATGCCATTTCTTTAAGTTAAAAAAATAAAATGCGCTTTTAATGAGTGTTTTTAAGAAATTGTAAATGATGTTTCTAAAAGATCTTTACATTTAATGGATTGTTTTCACCTAATACAAGAAAAGATAATGCATTAAAAATAAACTTTTTTCTTTAAATATCTCCACCAAACGAGTAATGACTTGTAAACAAATAAAAAAAGAGATACGAACAATTATTCTTTTGAGTCTATCCAAACACATAATCGGAGAATCTATGTTGTCTCCTTTAGCATTTTTCTGAAGTGATTAACCCTCTTCTGTCGGATTTAATTAGCTTCGAAGTCTTCGGTCTATGGAATCACATAAGCTCAAGCTCTAAAGCTACTTTTAGAAATTTGGTAAGGGACTGCTGTGGATTTGGAGTGAAAAAATTTGACATAGTCGTTTCCATTTGCATTTTTTGTGGACCATGTGGTGATGCCCGGCTTTAAGGGGTGTTGGATGGCCCAGTTCAGAGCTCGGAGGAATCTGCCATGAAAAGTCATGGAGTCAATCGGCTTTTCTGTCAGATCTCAATTTCTAGATGGCTCTTTGAAGAACTGCAAACGAATGACATATCCAATACCAATCAGCTCTCGTTATTTCAGAACTAATAAATTCAATAAAATGTCCAAGTTGCAACAGATTCTCATACTAGACAACTACTTTCAGCTGCATTGTTTTTCCATAATCATATGCTTTATTTAATCAGGCGATTCCCGTTTATGCAATATAATTTTGCAAGAATTCTTTTTTATTCTACATGTATTTTGACAGGACTTGCTCCAAGATACCCTCGTAGGACCTCTGCTTGATGGGGCTAGAACTAGACTGGGTTTGCTTTATTTTTCTATGAGCTAAAATTATGAATAAGTTTTAAATTATAATAAAATATTTAACGAGTTATTTAAATTTAAAATTTTTTTAATATAATATAAGAGTTAAAATTTTATTAATTAAAATAATATTTACTTTTAATATAATTAATTTTAAATAATGAAATAAATAATTTTTTTAAATATTATATTAGTTAATATATTTATAATTTCAATATTATATTAAAAAATATTTAAAATTTAAATATTGTATTAAATATTTTATTCTAGTTTAAAAATCATTTATAACATTACTTTTTTTTTTTTTATCTTTTTATGTTATAATTAAAATTCAAACTTCATCCTAATCTTGAATCTGTCTCCACTCTCCAGTATCATTGAGCTAACAGCTCAGGGTCTGCTTTATTTACTTATATATTGCAATTTGCAAAGATTATAAAGGGGTATAATCATTTGTCCATTTCTTAATTGTTGGATGCCAATGCCCTTTTTTGTAGCTTTGAGTTATGCACTTGGGCCTTGGGGATTCTTATATTTATTGACTCCAAACAAATTATATGCAAAATAGAATTGCCCAATTCTCGTGCCAATGATTTTTCTTCCAAGTCACGATATCTCCATGTGCCTATGGTTACATAGTTAGCGAGCAAAGGTTGTTAGGAAAAAGAGGAAAGAGATGGCATCGCCTTACAATTACTTTAGAGCAGAACCAATACATACAGATAGGTAGTTAGAAGAGCAGAAAGAAGAAAACTGGAAATGCTATTCGCATATGCATTTGCCTTTGCAAAATTAGCTTGAACGCCCCGATTTCTGTAATGTCATACAACAATCATTGCAATCAAATTTAATCCAAAACGGGAGTGTGTATGAAGAGAAACAAAAAAAAAAAAAAAAAAAAAGATACAGAGTTTAAGCACCTAATTGTTCATTCCTGTTCTACTCTATTGATGACTCAGATGCTGAGTCATCAATTGTTGAGTTTGAGATTGTCTCCAGTTGGCTTCCATTTTCACTATCTGAAGTTGCAGATGGTTTCTCTTCAACAGGTTGTTTCAAGGACCAATACATGATGCTTGCAGTCAATGTGAGGATCATCTTTTGATTTACCTGAAATTATGTCCCATCATGTTATAAATATAACCAAAAAATAAAATCAAGTTCCAGCTTTGCAGTATAGGAGATGGTAGTGACTTGTTCATGTTTCATGGTAATGGAAGAAGAATCCAACAGCTATATTGCAGGGGATATTCACAAGTCAAACGTATCCATTTATAGTCTCAACTTTCATTTACTCCTGATGGACCATTCTACTTGTCCATGTATGAATGAAATTTCTCTAAGAAACTGGCTTCATCACCATTTCCCTGGGAAATATAATGGATAATGTCTAATTTGCACAGCATTCCAATACCATGATGCGAACAAAGAAATCCATTCAAGTTGCATGACTCTGTCAAATGTGCGTTTCTTTAGAAAAATAAGAGGAAGAAGCTACATCTAAGGGAGAAGTGATACCTCAGTTATGTCTTCAGGAAGCAAAAATATTGAGCACCCAAGCTTCCTTGCAATACTAATGATGTAGGTGGCATTCATCTTTTTCTGCTCATCTGCAATGCTCCCAAGTTGGGGGAAACATGAGTAAAATTACTAACTTGTATAAATGAACAAGTATAATTTATGTACGATGTTCATACTTCAAGAAGGTAAAATAACGCTTATAAGGGATAATAGGCCTCTTAATTTTGTGATTCATTGACCTAATCTGAAATTTCAGACTTTGTCGAGTGTTGAATAGAAGTTGCTAGGTGTTGAAATATCAAAACAAAGTATCATCAATAGAAGCATGGCATATCTAGTATGATTGAATTTGTAAATAACATATGGAAGGGTTTAAACTCGAAGAAACTACAGTAGCCAAAATTTGAAGAAACCAGCAAGTCCAATAAGGCACCACTCTCACAGGTCAAAAAGAAAGAGGAAAAGGGGAAAAATAAACTTAAACACAAGAACTTTATCAAAGAACAATAAGAAAATACCAGTTACTCCTTTTGTAACAAGACTCCAATTTACAGATCTAGGCTGAACAGCACTAAGAAGCTCAAGGAAAAATATGCCATCTGACAAGCTCTTGTCCTGTAAAATGGAAATCGCAATGAGATATAATCTAAACTGCCTACATGAAAGTTGCTATATCATAGAACCCTTTCAATAAGTCCTGTTTAAGTCATTCATGCCCCAAATTGATCATAAGCAATGCTACCACTAGAAGGGCACTCGTTCCCTATGTCATTTTGAATCATTAACAACAGATAAGATCCTTCTGATTGTGATTTTCTGGAGAACAATAATAACCATGAGGAAATCCAAAAATATCTGTTTAAATTAATAGAAGCTGCGACACTGGCATTTGATGTGCAACAGTTTTAAATGTCATGTTCAGCAAAGGCTTAGAAAAAGAAGCATCAAGTGTGGTCTTAATATATTAATTGCGCCACTAGACCATGAATTCAAACTCAGAGGCTAAAATCACATATAATAAGGGAAACTACAGTTTAAAGCCATCCATATAAAGAATACCTTGAAACTATCCATGCGAGTCTGGCTTCCCGAATTGCTTACTTTGGTTTTAGCCCACCTTAGAATATCGACATCAGTAATTTCTTTTCCATGGGAATGGAATCTTAGGTTCTTCAGAAGTTGGAGAATGTTGTATCTCATCAATTGCCACAAATAAGCTGAATAGGAAAGCCAACAATCTGTCAAGACAGGACTAAACTAATTCCAATGCAAGTTCAAGAATGCCACAAGTTTCTGAATTGCTTTCACAACAAGAAGGAAAATTCCATGGCAGGAACATACCCAATATTAGTTTTTTATTTCCTTGCACAATATCATTTCCAGCGATATTAACCAGGGAAAATTTTAGTTGTTTCCCTATTTTAACCACTTGGTTACAGTTTTCTACTTTCTTAAATGGCAACTTAATAGGAGGCTTGTTAGCAACCTTCCAATTAACAATCCCAGGTGAAATCTTGTCGAGGGTCTCTAGAAGTATCCAGCTGCACAAGAATAAAATAGTCACTTCATTTCAGCATTAAAAAAAATGAAGAGTGAAAAACAGGTAAGATTTACTAATTTCAAATGTAGGAGAAAAACATAACCGTAAGCCATCATAAGGTTTTCATATAGAATATATATAGATATTTCAACCTTGCAGAACTATATTTCAGGTGTTTATTAAAATATGGAATTTGAAACAGAAACAGAAAGAACAGTACATATTTTCATTGTTTCTGTATAGTTTTATTTAGGCTTCTTTCCTTGATGCTTTTGCTATTTGCTTGCTTTACAAAAAAATAATAGAAACCAAAAGGCAAAAAATAAAAAAAGAATAGAAAACAAAAGGCAAATAGAAAAAGCATTCACCAAACAGAGCCTTACTTTTTTGAAGAGCTCAAGATAAAACCCCATGATAGAATTTAGAACGATTTATGCACTTATAATCATAGGAATAATACTTACCCATTTCTGAGATCTTCAAAGACATTGTCAATGTATGTTGAATTTCCCAGACTATTGATCCAGAAGCGAAATACTCTTTCCTCTCTAGAAACTTGGGCATCATCTGGTAGAGTTTCAAGAAAAGATATCTGTTTGGTTTGAGTTGAGAGGCCATTCCTGAAAGTAAAATATAATATTTAGCTTTTACATCTTGATCTCATCACCAGTTATACTAAATGAAGAAAAACGTCATAAGCCATCAATATGTATTCTTCTGCATTTTGAAACTTTCAATGGTTTTTTGAGAGTTCAAATTCCCATCAATTGTATGCACATAACACACTTGGCTTATTCTACTAGAAACACATGGAAGAAGAACATGCATGCAGAGGCAGAGAGAACAAAACTAGCTTTGTAAACTTGAGAAATGAAAGACCTGTTAAGTACCAAATTAAACCTACTCTATAATTGCTGTAGGCCGTGTATGGTAATACCATATAAAACATCTATAATTGCTGTATAAAAGTTTTGATGGGTTTGAAATTTTTTAGTACAAATTATTGAAAAGTTACAAATCATAAACTTGTGTTAGAAACGTCTTGGAATAAATTAATAAATCTTTCTTATGCTGCCAAATTTTGACCACATGGTATATTTAAGGGATGATAAAAGTTAGCAGAGAACTGTAAATATTAAAAGTACAAAAGAAGTATTCACTATATTTAAATTAAAAATCATCACTGGAAAAAGGAGTGCTCTTAATTCTCTCACCTGTGCTGGAAAATATGTGCAACGAAAGCAAGATTAAGATTTGGGGAACCATCCACAATATCCTTTGCAGTTAAGTATCTCTTGCATCCCATCCTATCTGCATGTTCAAGAACCAACTTTGCTCTTTGTAATGGAACTTTGACAGCCAATGTAGAGGGACTACTATGCTCAGGTGCAAGAACATTTAAAAGGTGCGCATAAGCCTCTGCATCCTGCAGATTGAGTATTATATGATCAAATGTGGACACCAAAAGAAAAAAAGTCTCCATGTATTATTGCAGCTTGCAACTAAATCCTATTGGTTTCATTTACTGTTAGGATAGACAAATTGAGGAAGCAAAAGCATTATATATTGCTATAGTACATTTTAATCATTTAGTTTGAGACTAGATATGTTAAGGTGGTTTAAGAAGTTCGAATTTTATATTACATTCTAGCTAATGATGTAAACAGGAAAAACGGTAGGGGTTAAACAAACATCCTGTGATAGTGTTTATGCTAGTTCTTAGGAGTTGGACATATAGCAATATATGAGGCAATTACACAAGCATAAGAGAAAGATACGTGATGGAAAATTTCAAAAGCTAAAACGAATTTCTAGTTTACCTTTACATCAGTGGAGAAATTTGTGACTACTTTCTTGTATGGAGATTTCTTCAGTTGGAAATTCATCCACCTCAGTAAGATCTTCTCTGGTGGTAAACTCATCAATTCTTCCACGTCCTGCTGGTTTAATAACAGACAAATATATTCAGAAGAAGTCTATGAAAACCTAGAAAAAACATCCAAGTTCTGTCCGATTGGTTGAAAATTTAAAATGTAAAAATGAAATACAAATTTGAGAGACAATGGGCATATTAAGAAGAGACCATGGTTCATCACACAGCATATGAAAGAAATTAGAGATTTAATTTTCCCCAAAATTGTACTTTTCATTCAAATGTCCCACAAACCAAGCATAGGCAAATGAACTAATATTCTTATGAAATAATATCTTACCTTACTATCATCAACAAGCTCCACCAACTGGGGTGTTTTCTTCAAGTTGAGGTCTGCCAATAGTTGTATCTAAAATAGCATAACCATTAGCAAGATAGACCACTGCCTTCTTAAGTAGCAAGGCTGAAAAATCTTAATTACCAAGTTACCTTAATAATTTGAGAAATCAATCCAAGCACAAGATGTCTCTGTAAAAGAAACCAGAGATGATATCATTCTCACCAATCACTTGCAAAATCTAAACTTAAAATAATTGCAGTAATAAGTGATTAAACTCATCAAATTCTGGGATAGCAAAAAAGTTTGATTATTGGCTTAGCAAGAATAGTAAATAGCTCAGAATTTTGGTTTAGCAAGAATAAAAAATAGCTTAGAATTTTGGTTTAGCGTCAGTAAACAGATAAATTAGGTTAGGTTTGGGTACGCCCCAATTCTTTTTACCCCAAAATTCAGCTTGATGGAACGTGAGTGGGTTTTCAGATCACCAGATTAAGATTACTCCGCTAGACATCCAAAAGTGAAGGGTTAAAAGAAAATAAAGGGCAACCTCTAACGAATGTGCTCAGAACTAGGGTACTAAATGAAATCCTCTACCTAGTCCCAGCCAAATATGAGTATCAATGAGCTTTCCAACTCCAATTATCTTGTGGAAAAACAGTTTAGAAGCATGGAAGAGCTTTTATGATTGCCACAATGGCTATAGCTCTGGGCATTGCAAATCAACAATAAAAATGATGCATGCTTTAAAATAATTGTTTACATCCAAAAGTTTTCTTAAACTCAAGAGAAAATCCAACCATGAAATAAACTATTTCAATATTGCAACAGACCAACAGTATAGTATTGCATACCCTTCCTTCAATGAAATCTTCTGTCCCTATATTGACTACAGTGCAGCCAATAGCCTTGGCAGAGTTGAAACATAGCGTATGGTTTTCATTTCTTTCCCATGGATTGAGCACTCTCTTAGTATTAATGGCCCTTTCATCAATCGTACCCGGAACTGCTACATTTATGAGCTTGCTGCATTTTTTTGTATAAAATCTTCAAAAAATTTGCATCCCATAAGCTCAAAAACAACACATTCAACAGCTGTAAAGTTGAAAGAATAATTTACCAAAGAATAACACCGTCTTTAACAATCTCAAACAGATCATTAGAGGAAGGATTAATGGGTAAGTATTTGTTTAAGAACCCATCTTGAGCAAGATAATTATTGATATGGGCAACGTAGGATGCCTTTTCGGATTCACTAATGGTGTGAAGCAGAGTAGTTGTAGCTGCCTTTAGGAATGCTGATGAGTTCTTTGCTGGACTTCCTGTTCTTGCACTTGCATGTGCATGAAGTTTCAAATAAACCTATCCACAAAAATCACAATCCCAATTATTTCAAAAGAAAAATATATATATATTCAACTCTCATTTGCGTTTCTGATTTCCCCTCCTAGTTTTAGTTAATCTTCTAAGCATCGTAAAAATCCCTTCTTTTATGTTTGGATCATCAAAATATGTTATGAAAGCAAAAAAAATATATATTAAAAGAAACGAATGATTTAGTCTACTTTCCAGGAAAATAAAAGAAAATGGGAAAAAAAAAGAAAAGAACTTTCTGAAAGTTACATTTGAAATATTGCCACAAAAAAAAAAACAGAGCAACCCAAATTCAAATTTTTCATAAGCTAAAATTTTCAGGGAAAAAAGAGAATCAAACGAACTAAAAAAAAAGGATCTTAACGATCAAAAACCGGATTGAAACCAAAGTAAAGAAAAATGAACTGACCTTCAAAAAGAACTCAAAATCGACTTCATCGTTCAAGTTAGGATACAAATCAGAGATATAATCAGCTCGTTCCTGATCATTCAGATTCTCTCCCACAACTTTCAATTTCGACATTCTCGATGCTAAGTCTCCCACCGTTAACTTTCCGCTCTCTCTTCTCATACTCATAAACTGCCAAAACCACAAACAGAAAAAAGTGTTAGTAGTTATGACCAAAACAGATTCGTAACTGGAAAAACATAAAAAGATGAATGATTTCTTCTGTTACGTGAGTTTTTAAGCTACGAAGCTCGACTTGAGTAAACTGGTTTTGCAGCCATGGATCTGAGACCAAAATGCCTACATAACCAGCCATTTTTTTTTTTTTTTTGAATTTTGATGGAAATCTACCAAATATTAATATGTTAAAAGAGTTTTCTTTTTGGTTCCTCTGTTTTTTGTTTTAGGCCTCTGTATATTTGTTTCTTTTTTGAGCTGAGAAATTAAAATCTGTGAAGAAGAGAAGGGAACAGTGGGAGTGGGACGGGTTGGAGGAGCTGTCAAAGAGTTCAAAGTTGTTCTCTTGAGAATTCAAATTATGACCATCTTGTCCTCTCATTATCTTTTTTTTTTATTTTATTTTTTTAAATGAGAAGTAAGTGTGGGCCCGCCTAAAACTAAAAACAACTGGTTTGATTTGAGAATGCAATTTGATTTTAAAGTTTGAACTGTCAAAGTTTGTGAGTGTCTTGGTAAATTTTGTTTGCTTTTTGTTAATGATTATGGCTGTGCTCGCAGCATGGTCCCGACAGATTAATAACTATGATTAAAAGAGTATGAAATAGTAATGGCAAGGAATTAAGATTCTCTTTTTATTATTTTGTAACGCGTTTCGATATTAAAATTAATTCCTTGTTTTATAAATAGATAAAAATAAAATAAAAAATAGAAATTTATAGAAGTCATTTTATCATTATATATATAGTTATTAAAAAATTTTAGAAAAATATTAATCGATATTTATTAGTACGGATGAAAGTAATATTTATATAAAAATTAATTTATATTTTTTTATTTATTTTAAAATAATGTTTTAATTATATTGAAGCAATATTTCGTAAATCCTTGATTTTTATTGGAAAAAAAAAACCATATTTCAAAAAAAAAAAAATTCTCAATCCAGAGTGAATGTTCTAAAAGTTACCCATCAACCGACAATATGATTTTGCAAAGTTATATATATATATATAGATAAATATGTAAATGTAAATGATAGGTTTAGTGATTATTGCAAGGGTAAGTAATGCAAATTCATATCTAACTATTGATTTGCCGGTAGCTCCCAACATTTCACCAGCTGTGGGCTGTGGCAGTTCACGCAACTGCACACACCAAATCTACCAAAAACCTCGACAGCACCCTTTGTCTAGATGATTTGATAAAGCAGAGGAGAGAGAGAGCGAAAGAGAACAATCATTTTTCAAGGAAGATGGTGATTTGGTCAATTTCCAAATTCTGAAACCCCACGAGAGCAACCCTTGCGTGCTTTAAAAAAAGTAAACAAAAAGGATGGTCGTTTTTTTGACGTTTACTACAACTTACAAAGTATTAAGATGGACCCAATTTGATGTGCTAAGTTAGAGTTGTTAGTTTAAACTTTAAGAACCCATTTGGAAGCTAAGACTTCGTTTGAGAATCCTATGTCCAGTTATAAGAGGTACAACATAGACGATCTATATGAATAGGTAAGATGTTGATAGATATTTTTAAAAACACAAAAAAATTGTTAAAATTTTTTCCTTAATATCTTTATTGTCAATAAAATTAATAAATTCACTTATAATTTTTATTTTATTATAAATGAACGATCTTTAAAAAAAATTTAAATCTGTCACCATCTTTGAAAAATTTTTCATGACAATTAATAAATTCATTGATAATTTTTAATATATATTAATGTATACCTCTAAAAAATCTTGAATTCATTGCTACATTATCAATACATAGGTTGTTCAATCTCTTAAATCAAAATAAGATGTGTCGTACTTGATAATTTAAGACAGGTGATTACAAATCGTGCATTCAAAATGACTCAAACAAATGATCACCGATAATACTCGAACTCAAAACATTTTCATAAAAAAAAAATAAACATAACCGATTGAATCAATTATTTATTAATGCGATAAAAAAACTTTTAATCTACTCCAAATAAATTGTAAATTTAAATAAAGTTTTAGACCTTAAAAAAAAAAAAATAGGGTGCCTTTCTTCTTCATCATCATGTTGGATAAGAGCACTACAAATTTATCTAACAATAAAGAAAAATGATTATGGCTTTATCTCCATTTAGTATTGTACTTTTTTTCTAAATCCAACATCCCTTATTCGTGAAATAAAAAAAAAGTTGGGCCAAAGCAGAATGACAGCTGGTGAAGATAAATATAGACCCATTTTTTCGACGTAGTACCAAACCATAAAATAAGCATTGCATTTTCGTATTAAACACCACACATGCAAAAATTTTCCAAGTTATGGATGCCCTCCAAAAGGCAACTTTAGGAAAGGTTGTAATCTTTTCTTTTGTAGCCTTGTTTGATTTGGTTTTAAGCATGTTGTTGATATTATTTAAAAGAAAAAGATTATATAAACATATATGATAACATAAGAACTAAATTGAAAAAAATATTTATTTATAATTTATGTATATGAAATATGTCTATGTAGCTGTCCAAAAAAATTCGTTGAATAATCCAACATTCTAAATGAGGGTAAAAAGATATTATCATATATGATAGTATAAAATAAAAGAAGTCATTTCCAGTTGATTAATAGTCAACTTTAGTATTTATTTATTTATATATTTTTTTCCTTTTTAAAATTATTAAATAAATTTTTTTTTTTGGACAAGTAGGAATTTTTTGTTTTATAAAATATTTTTTTTTCATGGATGAGAATTTTCGAGATAAAAACGAGTTATTGTTTTTCTTCTTTACAAAAGACAATGAGGTGTATTATTGTTTCAAGAGAGAAACAAATATGGAATAAAAGGGAAGAAATTAATCGATTTACACTGGCAAAAGATCAAGCCAATGTGTGTGCACATGGATGTAGTGAGGCATGTCATGAGAAATGTTGGAGCGGCTGATTTCTGTTTTGCGATTTCCATTTTCTCCATTGAAGCTAAGTGATTGGGTAGCAAGGAAGAAAAGGCTGGCTAGGACTTTAAGATATGGAGTTATTCCGTTTTCAACTCCATTCCTTTCTCAGAACTTACGTAAATCGGATCAAAATCTCATATTGGAAATTTGTGAAAATCAATTGTTGTATAGTTATTGAGACTTAAAACTCGAATATGTGAAATATATTTTGTGTACAAAACTGTGAAATCTTTGAATCAAAAGCAAACGTTAAGATGAAACAAGTAAAATGCTCAAACTTTCACACATCTGATTTGGGTTTGATTGTGAATCTCATTATACATAAGCTTCCAAGATGAATGACGAGGACCCATCATCAGAACCCAATCAGAAGATCTTTGATCAGATTAACTATTACGCTACCTGCGTGAGCTAAAAGTTGATGATGAATCTCATTTCCTAACAACTTTTAAACAAGAAAAAGCTTTCACCACACAAACAGAGAGAGAAAGAAACAGAACAAAGTAAAGTGAAAACGTTAGTGACATGCAAGAAATTTATAACCTCAGAAGGTTGTGAGAAACATCATTTGCAGGCAGCCAGAAACTTTTATTCTGGGTATTGCCCAATTTGTCTATCTTTCCAAGCCAACCGATTGAACCATGAATATGTCAAGAAAAATTACTATTTGAAGAACATTGTCTTTCTTGTAGCTCAGTCAAAGAATTGGAAGTTGTTGTGGATCTCGGTGGAGACAGTCCCGAAGGACGCCGGTGAAAGTTGAGTTGAGAGGTCGAAGTCGAGCTTTTAGTTGACAGTCAAGGTCGGGCCAGCCATTGGTGATATCAAATGTGGTCAATAATAATGAAATAAAAAAGATCGTGATTGAAGAAGCTAGGAAGCTAAATTATGGGTTTTAAATTTTAATGAGACATTCGGAAGGAGAAGGATTTACTATGATTTTGATTGGAAGAGTTGGGCTTTCTGATATAAAGGGAGATTTTGTTTTTGTAGCGTCTGTTAATTTTGTTTTGGTTAGGTAAAAACTCCAATCCATAGAATAGAACAATCCCTCGTCTTTATCAAAAGTAAACTTCATGGTTCAGGCGTCTCACCCTTTCACACATTGATGACGAAAAAGCTATTCATTTGAAACACGCCATGAGACTTGACTACAATTTTGAAACAACTGCTCACGTGGGGTAATTTCAACTCTAATTGTTTTGTTAATCGGTTGATCAAAAGAAGATTGGAGCCTTGGAGGAAGAAGAAGAAGAAGAAGAAGATACAGAAACAAGGTTGGCAAGAAGAAAGCAGAGGTAGGGCAATGTGGGGCGAGCCAAAAGAGGGTGGGCAACCGATCCATAGAGAAGGTGTGGAGCCAAATCCTATTTGGTGAGAGTTGTTTCGTACACAATATTTGCTTTACAAAAAGGCAAAACTAAAGGCAACGAGGGGTGGTGTGGTAGGGAAGTGGTTTTGTAAATTATTGAGGGAATATGTAGCAATCCGTGCCGTGTTTGCTTCTGCTTCTCACAACATTCAAATCATTACCAAGTTCTTAGCTGATCCCTGTGTTATTAACTGGGACCTTTCCCCACATGGCAATCCGCCACTATAAACTGGATTGTGAATCTTCATCATTCTTAGCTGATTTGGGATGTAGCAAATCTATGATTTGGGTTACATACGGGTTAGATATATTCATTCATAAGGAGAAGAGCATTATACCAGCCCAACTTTTGGCTGCAAAGACTACTGAAATACAAAATCGTGAACAGCACTTCATTCTAACATATGTACATGTAACATTAGCTCAATTTCTCAATAACCATGTCATAGATATTTCATAGTTGGGAGCAGTATCCTCTAAACTATACTTACCAAATCATCTATCTCCCTTGAGGAATGAGATAAAACGGGGCTTATGATGTAATCAAACTTCTGTTACATGTTGCTCAAAGACCTAGAATGAAATTTCCTGAAGAACTTGAAGTGTTTTCTGATGAACTTGGATAGAAGATTAATAAAATGAAACCATAGACAAACACTGATGAATATGACCAGTTAAATCTTAAAACAGTTCAACAAGCTAAATTGCAAATTGTGATTGATGATATGAAGCAAATTCTAGATCATTCAGAAATAGAAAATAATGTAATGGTAAAATATTCCATTTTGTTTTTGAATTAATAATTTACCCATTCTAAATAGGAAATAATGGAATAGTAAGATTAAAAGAAAAGCCAACATAAGGTGTTAACGATTTGTGCAGTCAAATCAAACATAAGAGATCCATTTTCAGGAGTTACCAAGAAGGCAAGGCAAAAGATAATTTACCCATTCTAAATGTTGTGCTGTTATGCCAGAGACATTTCCACTACATATACCACCCAAAACCTAAGCATGCCAAGAAAAAAAGGTCCATTAGTGTTGATATAGCATGTAGCAAAAAGGTTATCCAAGGAATTCATGGGCATGCAATAAAAGGCAATCGTCCCTTTGCAAGCCATGAGGTCCATACGATTAACTGAAACCCTGTTGTCTAGTAGTGTAAGTGAAGGATACCTTTGTGACAGTCTCAAGAAACATGCCGGGGCAAACTGGAAGTGGTTTTCTCCCTGTAACACTGAACTGGTTATCATGACAAGAAGAGAGTAAATATGCTATAATTTCCATGATTTTGCAAACATTTCTAGCCGAAATCCAGCCATATTTTTTAATCAATAAAGAAAATTGTATAGAAATGAATCTAAAACTGACCCTTCCAGCAATTCCACAGAGTCTCATTCTACCAGCATTAATTTTTTCATCAGTGTCAGAGTAGTCTGCACCTTCATCTTTCCCTAGCTTTACATTTTTTATCATTTCCTGGACAGTTTTCCCAGGTTTCAGAGCTACAAGTTTTGTTAAGAAGTTCACCTGCATTGATAAGATCTTAGTCATGCCAAAGATCATTCAAATGACAATAACATATAGATTTATTTCATATGATTAGAGAATCATCAATACATCTTATATAAAACGTTAGATAATTTTAGAAATGGTATTATCATACGCTTTGGTGTTTTTTGTCTCTTACGTCTAGGTCAGGCCTCTCATCCTATTGCCAATCAGTTTTTGAATATATACTTAACACGATATCAAAACCAAAGTTGGTAATTGTTTTTTTGTTGGGTATTTTAACATTGCATTAAAACTTAGGTCTTTTAATGTTCATCATTTCTTGTGCAGTTTTCTATGTCCATCCGGTAGGCCTACATTCTTAGCTATTCCATCTAAGCCTTCACTTGAATGGGAGTGTTAAAGGGGGTTATCCCACATTGCTTTGGTTTGACGTCTGTTGTGGCACTATATCCAGATTGGGCCTCTCTCCAACAAATGTCAATTGCTTTTAGGTTTGAAGCTTAGCATAGGGATTAGCAACCTATCTTAATCAATTTTAGTTTTTCACAAAATGCAATCGCGCACACCTCTGATTCAGGAAGAGAACTAAAACCACAGTCATTTCTTTCATCCAGTACTCCACCTCCCATCATATTTCGAGCTTCTTCTCTGATAAAAAATAGTCTCGAAAGTAGTTTTCGATCTGGAACACTTGGCCGAGTTTCCATCGTCTGAAAAAACATTGATAATGCAAAATAAGTTTTTCTTTTTGCCAGTGCAAAGTAAGTTTAAATGCTAAGAAACTTAGAGAACGTTGCCATCGTGAAAAAAACTAACAGAAATGAAATCAGCCCAGTTTTAGTCTCACAATAGCAGGCTATCTAAAAAGGTAGTAAAAGAAATAAAATGCCTTTAAACAATTAGTCTATACTATAAAGTCCATGTAAAGGCAACGGAAAGGCTCCAAAAGGAATATTTTGTAATTATAGCTCAAAAGCAGAATATTATCCTTTTTCCACCTTTAATTTATAATATATTTTCATTTTTTTCCATTTCATTTTTATCAAAACAAAGTATTAGTCAAAAGGTATCATGCCCTCCTTTTTTAATAACAATTAGGGAAACAGCAACATAATTCTGCATGCTAAAGTTTTGACATGTTACCTTCACAGTTGTCAACTTTATATGCACCTTCACCAAGGTGATAGCCCAATGCCAAGCATTCACCTAGGTAAAGTGGTTTATCTACCAAAAAACTAAATAAAACTAAACTAAACTTGGAAATTTTTATCTCAAAAGCAAAAAAGATTGCAATGGAGGTTGTAAAAAATTTAAAAATTCATAAATCGTGTGATTAAACAAATGTCAGGTTGACATTGTCGAAAATAATGTGTGATAATGGAAATAGTTCAAGAGGATTTTTTTCTCTTTATTTATTCTGTCATGTATGAAGTTGCAAACACATAACTGTGCACGTAGATCCAATAAGCTTTTACCATGAATGGAACCTTTCTAAAAATAATACATCACAAAGTATCTAATAAGACTAAAGATGCATAAACAATTGCAGTCTGTTTGTTAGCCTCAATAGTAGTTGACTTATGTGGGTGCATAAGCATCTCTTAGGCAATAATCGAGAGTACCAACTTCATTTACAAATTAAAATACACTCAACCAATATCCAAAAATGCTTATGAAGATGCACGTAATCTCCTTCAAGCTCAAGCATCTATGAACCTAAACAACATATAAATAAAACATTATCTGAGAGGGTGATTCATGATAAGATTTTCAGATAAATACCTCTAGCAAATGATCAGCCTGGTTTGCTATATCATTTAGATTTGCTCCAGGAATATGAACTTTGGTGCCATTTTCACTTTTGAAAGCACCACCACCAGCAGCAACTCGGCATAGTAGTTCATGTCTTCTTTCTTTCTGGGGTGTTCCACAGAGAAGTCCAATCACTTGAACCTAGGAAGCAAGGAAAAACAAGAGAAAATAACTTAGAATTCAGTTCATGTTAGTATATAACTAACTTTGAGCTACAGTTGAATCAGGCATTGCAAGATTGGGCCTCAAGGGACTTCCTTACATGCGGGGGACATTTTTTTGTTAGATGAGCTAGTGCAGTCTCCTTAATCACCTCAGGCAGTGACTTGCGCTGAATTTAAAAAAAAAAAAAAGGTCCATTTTGAATTTTTTCATATGAGAGACAAGCATCAACTGTTAAAGAGATCAAACAATAACTGACAACAAGATAACCAGCACTAAGCCAGCCCAACCTTTTCCTAGCAAAAGAAAGGCAGCAATTTCAAACCATGTCTGACCCCAAACTGACAACTAAAACACATGCACAAAACTAATATGGAGTTTTAAAGGATCCAGTTAACTTCAAAATATAACACTGTTGGTTGTGCGGCCTTCAACTAGAATCAGTCCTAAGCTGCTAGTACTTTCTAAACCCTACATAAGGACAACAAAAAAAGAACGTACAAAGAGGGGAGATGGCACCTTCAACTAATTTCGAATAATGTTAGAAATCCCCGTAAAAATAGCCAAAAAAAAAAAAAAACCACAATGACACATATTGCTACAGAGTTCTGCAAACAAATTATAAATTGGCAACATTGCAAGCACTACATGTTATAGTTGGTGTTGGGTTACAAATGAGATCAGGCTGATGGAAGAGCATTTCATGGAACAAGTAATCATCAAGTTCAATTATTCTTCAAATCAAGTTTAACAAACTCATGCTAAAATTCCTGTTCTCAATAAAGTTTCAATATTGAAGTACCAAGTGGAAACCTTTTTCAGGCATCTTAAATCTTAAAACACACTGCTAAAAGATGTGATAAAATACTTATAGTTGGAAAAAAAACAACAAACAATTTTGCGATATGGCAAAGCTTGCTTTCAAAGCCTGGTTTATCTATAACAAAAGTCAAAATTTTAATTAAAATTAAGCTTCAGTTTTATTAAGCATCCATGTGAATTGCTATCAAATTCAAAACCTATACAATTGCGTCAGAAGCTTACTACATGTTTATACCAAAAGAAATGTTCTATATCTGAACCTTAACAAGTTTGACAAATGCACAGTTAAAGTTGCACTACCTTATCATCTTGGTCCTTTTCAGCAAGTTGGATCATGTAATCTAGAGCCATCATGAACCCTGATTCCATTCCATCCACCCTTTTCCCAATTACTCCTTGTGCAGCTAATTCAATCAACGGCCATCTCCTCGGATGCCTCATCCATGTTCATATCTTGTAGCTGCACCCATATTACATATCATGTAGTCAACATACAGACACAATTCACAACCGGGCTTGTTAAGATTGGAGAAGAGGGATTTCAAATTCAAAGGTTAATGTGATATTTGACAAATTGGTTCCTAGTGAAAAGCCAGAAAGAATATTTTGATTAATAATAGGAACCAAACGGTAAAAATAGAATTCAGAAAACTGCTGGTTACTGCCTGGTACATATAGGCAGCTAAAATCTTATGTCACATTTGAACTATTGTTGCAACTCAATTATGGGATCTCCAGACATGTCTGCACATGGCCTGGAACAAAGGGCCATTGAAGTATACATAAAACATATTAAAGGTCCTCCTAGAAGATTGTCATAAACATATTACAACTAAGAAAGCAAAGTAGCAAACCAGAATTGGAAAATTCTGGTTATTAATGCCATTAAAACAAGCATCCTACAAATGATAGATTCTCAAAATAATAGAATAAAAAGAGAAGAATTGGGAGCTTACAAGGGTTATAATATCTTGAAGAACAGAAGTGACTTGGTCTCCCCCTTTGAGTAGAGCTTCATACTGAGCAGAATCAAAGTTTTGGGTGTCTTGAACTTGTTGGTTTTGCGTTTTATAAGTTGTGTCAAATTCTTCATCAGAGTAGCCGCCACCAACTTCATTGCTGGACGACACGCTGCCCAAGCATTGCTGGTTCTTTCTCTTGGGGTGTTTTAGTTGCCAAGATAGTGGGGATAGGGGAAGTAAGAGAACGCTGAAGAGGCGAAGAAGAGTTAAGGGAGAGAAGGAAGATTTGGAGTTGAACAACGAGGGAAGAAGAAGACATTTCTCTGCAACATTTCTTTTCTGGGGTTTTGGGTTTTGGAGAAGCAGGAAATGGCAAAACAATAAAGGAATATCTGAATCTAGAGAAATTAAAAAAAAAAACAAAAAAATTGCAAAACACCTACTGTTGATTATCGCCGTCTGTGGGAATCGAACCCACGACCACATGGTTAAAAGCCATGCGCTCTACCGGCTGAGCTAAGACGGCGCTGTTCCCAACATTATTTAATTAACTAATTTAAGTATTGCCATTTCAAATAATATGTTAAATATATTCAAATGCCTGATTTTGAAAAATGGCATTAACTTCCAAGTAAGAAAAATATGTCATTCGAAGCGAAATAGCAAGCCTAAAAGGCTGCCTGATACTCTGGAATTATTTCACAACGGAGATAAGAAAAGATGGATCAGATTCAAATTGCCTGTGTAATTTGAAGCGAAATTGCAAGGCTAGCTGGCAGTCTTGAGCAATGCCCATGCCTGTCCAGGAAGCGGAGTACTACAGGAAATAATCATAGCAATTCAATGTGTCACCAATCTGCAGAATACCTACAAACCACACCAAGTGCTGCTTTTGCTAGTCAAAGGAAACATCACAGTTGAATATGAAACTCCCATTTGGAGGCTTGCTCCATCGAGTCGCTCCCAGTGGACTTTCAGAGCTTCTCATCTTGGGGGGGTACCATTGGATCACGATTCTACATTTGCAAACATTCCGCCATTCCAGTCTTGCTTTATTGGCAATGTCAGAGGGATCAAGATTAACGCTCTAAAAAATTTTGCTATTTCGAGCCTTCCAAATATTCCATTATTTAAAAGCTAGAAGGAGAAGATATATTTTTTTCTTCTACCACCAGAAAAAAAAATTCTATACTTGTATACAATCAGAATTTAAAAGTAACTGATGAAGAAACCAGACTGCTGTTGCTCAATTGCAGCGAAAAAGTAAATGATCTAATTATTCTTCTTGATTATCACAAACATGGCATAATCTATTATGAGCAATCTTCCTTTTTTCTTTAGGTTTTCCAATGTTGGGAGAGAGTCCTTCGAGGCACACCAAAGAAAATTTTCAGTTGCATCGAGGTTCCAAACGCACTTATTCCTATGAACCTTGAAATCCTTGGGTTAAAGAATAATAGATTTGCATTGCATGTGTTAACCCCCTATGTCAGTTTTTTTTTTTTTCATTTTTTATTTTCTATGCTTGAGATTATCTTAGATTAAACTCTGATACTAAAACGATTTCGTCTTTTGTTGTTGGATAAAATAATTAGTTGGAAAACAAGCGTGTTTGTTTTCACTCACCACCACCAATAACAGAAGGACGGACAGACGGTTTAAGAAAAATGGTTCCATCAAGATTGGTAAAAAAAAAAGCAAACGGTGACCGCTTGAGAGATTATCCCAGCCCAGCTTTAGCACCCCCTCCCAAATGCTGCCAACAAATGTTTGAAATCCGCTGAGAAAAAACCACTCACCAACCAGGCCCCCTTTGATCCTTGTGTCAGATGGCTCTCTACACTCTACAGCGACAACCACATTACTAGGAAATTGGATATTTAATATTTTAGCCCTTGCTTTGCCTTCCCATAATCCCCAAAACACCCCTCTCTTTTCTCCAAAATTCGATGCCCTGCAAATACCTAACAAATGGATAAAACCATAAACTGTATTACAGTATTTGTCGATCTCAAAAATATTTTTAATTTAATATTATTAGTGTAGACATTAAATATAATAAAATAATATATAAAATATATATATTAACAATCTATAAAATATAAACTAATGACCTTAAAATTTGAACATGGCGAACGAACATTTATATGAATTTTAAAATGAGAAATAATGAACAAGCCCAATTGCGACTATTAGAATAATTTTATTCTTTTCCTCCTAGGCGTGAGCAAAGTGTTCCTGGTGCCTATATGGCTACATCTCGTAGAAGGCACTATGATCTGGTCTAAGTCGTCGATCAAAAAAGCTTTCTTCCAATCCATGATGTTTTCTTAAAAAAATTATTACTAGGCTTGGTCATTTCCGACGAGTAATAAAATATCATTAAAAATTGTAATTGTCGGATAGCAAATAATAGCCAATATTTTAGTATGACATTTCTTAGCTTCTTTTTTTTTCAAAAAAATAATTACTCCAATTTTATTATTTCATATGCATAAATTATCATGTAATTTTTTATTATAATTAAATAATTATAAAATTACAGGATTATAATAAAAAATTTCGAGTGGAATGCTTTCATTTCAATCCATCGATTATTGTAAATAATTTTTGAAAAATTTTTATTTTTATTTAATTTAATTTAATAATTGAATTAATTGAAATATAATAAAATTTAAATATAAAATTAAAAACAAACACCTCCTGAAGCGGGCCATCTGACCTTTAAAAGGCCTTTAAGTCCAACGGAGGAGGAACTGTAGAAATGGGGAACCGGAGAACAACAAACGCTAGTTAGATTAGTCATCAGCTAGCTTGAGTACACTACACGTCAAGGGCATTTTGGTCTTATAAGTTAACTAACAAAAAGTTAACAGACTAGCAACTAGAAAGTGGTACGATACGTAAATAGGAAACAACACAGGAGGACAAAATCGGTAAAATTGCTAAAATCCCAATCTAATCCCTAAACGGTTCCGCTTCCCCGCTTCTATAAGTGTACCCCATGCTCACGTTTTATACCGTCCTCCTCGTTGTCTCTTTGTTTCAGTTCCTCTTGTATTCTCTTTCTTAGGGTTAGGGTTTTCTCAATCTCTTTCTTTTTTGCAGCAAAGGCTTTTGTTTAGTTTCTTCAATGGCTCAGCAGGAGGTGCAGAATGGAGGAGCGGAGAAGGCAGCGTCTGTGAAGTTCACGGCGGTGAAACCACAGCTGTTGGTGGAGGCACCGAAGGCAGTTGATGCAGTGCAGTTCTACAAGATCGCCTTTGGCGCTGTTGAGGCTGGCCGTACTGTTTACCCTAAGCGCAAGGCTGAGCAGGAGCTCCCTCACATCCTCTCTGCTCAGCTTGAGCTTGCTGGCTCTACCATTCTGGTATCTGACATCGCTGATGACTCTGCTCCGTATGCCCGTCTCTCCCTTCCTCCCTTTATAAATACTTTTGTTGTTATGGCTGTTTTTACTCATATGATGCTTTGTTTAAAAAGCCGATCATGATTGTTTGATTCTTCAAATTATCATTTCAGCTATTTTTTTTCTTATCTTTTTTAATTAGTTTCTGTGACCGTTTACTCTTAGTCATTATGGAATCTTCATAAATTCTTGTCAGGTTTCATTTATGCCTGACATATGATAGCAAAATCCGTTCTGTTCTTGTTGCTTGGCTAGGAAACATTTTATACATTTTCATTCTCATTTTTGTTAGGTTTATCATCTGCATTTGACTCCTTATTTGCGTTTTCGTTATTTAGAGCTCCAGTTTCATAGATCTGTAGGACTGAGATTAGGTTCGTTTTTGTCTTCTTTCTGAGTATTAACGATTTATTTTGATATAATCGCCTGCCTGTTTGTCTTACACTGCTTATTTCCTGTTTATTTTCGACTAAAAAAATTTTAAACTGGGATTTTTAAAATGTTTAACGTTATTAAAGCTTGTTATTAATTTAGAGTTCGTTATTTAGCGAGAGTTTCGCAACACTGGTTTGTTGAGTCGTCATTTTTACCGGTTGGCTTGTTACCCGTTCTCTGTTTGACTCGGGCTTTTTCTTGTTTCAATTAAGCAGGGTGAAAACAGAGGGGACGGGATGTGTTCTCTGCCTTGAGACCGAGGACGTGGAAGCTGCTGTTGCCAAGGCCGTGGGCGCTGGAGCCGTTGTGGAGGGTGAGATAACTGAGGGCGACGGCGCGTGCTGTGGTGGTCGCGTGGGCAAGATTAAGGATCCCTATGGATACGTTTGGCTTATCTGCTCCCCCTCCAAGAAATGCGCAGACGTGGAAGCTTAGATGTCGTCCATCTTTGAATAACTTTTGTTTGACCCTGTGCTTTAATTTATGTGGTGGGTGGGACCCTTAGTCAGAAAAAGGTTTCCAGGCGGTAGGGATTCGGCGATCAGTTGAGTTAGACTCTGGTATTGAATATTTTGATACTGCTCCATCCTGAACCTTCGGTAATTTTGAAGTATAAAATAAAAAAAAGGCTGGATTATCTTTTAATCTACTGTTTCAGTTGCAGTTAATACCGTTTTTATTTTTAGTTCTGTGTTAGCAAGATTCAAACTGCGTATTTAGACCAGCAAGTTTCTGTCACGGTTAGTTATCCTTCAATAGATTTTAAGGGTAAGAATGACTTTTCATAGTATGTGATGGGTATATGGTATGTGTCGGTTTTGCAGTGGTGGTTGATCGTTGGTGCTTTGGTCAACGTACTAGTAATATATATTCATTTCTATTATTATATTCACTTTGTTCCTTTTTTTTATTTTTCTTTTTAGAATATCTCAAAGTTTTATATTTTAATATCTGAAATTTATATTTTTATATTTTTTACCTTTTATATTAAAAATCATAAAATATTAATTTTAACATTAAATTTATTAAAGTTAAATTTTTTAAAATTTGGTAAAAATTAATATATTAATATATAATAGATAATATGAGATGAAGGCAGTGGCATTTAGCGGTAATAGATGCGATTTATTAATTTAATTATGTAGTATTATCTTTTACAATCAATGCCTGTAGTTATCTTTCTAGGAGAAATTAATTGTTACGAGACTTCGACGAATGAGAAAGTCCTTGGGCAGTGTTATACCAAAAAAAAAAAAGAAATTTTCCTTTGACCCTATAATTTTGGTAGTGAATAAGCTGTTGCCACGCGTCCATTGGATATAAGTCTGCCTTTTTTTCAAAATTTATTTAGCAGTGACTGAGAGAGTTCTGAAATTTTAAGGTCGTGACAATTAGATAAGGGTTTCTGTTGTGGTCCCAACGATGATGGGGATGGGACCAGTATGGGAATGGTGGGGGTTTTCGTGATTATTTACTCATGGAAATGTGACGTAGAGAATTTTGATGCCTCCGCAGTTCAACAGACAAGTTTTTTATGAAAAACTTTTGTTAATTTAATTATTAAATTATAATAAAAAAATAATGCAAAATTAAAGTTACGAATGTATGTTGATATTTCACAAGTAACATAATGGAAAGAAAAACAGGGTTAAGTATTTGAATCATTTTATTTTACCTAGTTATTAACTCACTAATTAGTTGATAATAACAATCTTGTGGCAACTTCGTAATTATTATATATATTTGTATTTTTATTACGTTCAAGGACTCCAGGAGGGCTCTATAACTCTTTCAGAATAAACCTTATCTGTTGTATGTGTTTTTTTCTTTTTTTGGACATCTATCTGTTTTTGTTGTTATGTTGTTGTTAATACAAAGTGATATGAGATGAACACTGGTTTCTTAATGCTGTGGACTTGTGTCCTACTTCGGTCTTGAAAGATGGATTGTAGAAACTAGAAAGAGACAGCGAATTGGGCATGGTTTTCTCTATTTTTGAGGATTGCCATGGCAAAGAAAGTGGGTCTAGTGGACTTGATAATGGATAACAATGATTTTGCTGAATTTTTTATTGGAGATTGGAGTAACCGATATCCTTCTTTTTTATTTTTTCTCACTCCCCTTACCCATTGATGAAGGCCAATTCATATTTAAATTCTTGTCCTCGACTAAATTAACGGTGATAGTAATCTCAACCATTCAACCGGTTTTATTACTGGTAAAGATTAAAAAAGTTTGTATGAAAAGTTTTATTTTTCTTTCCCTAATTATGCCGTGTCATGCTGCTAATCAACTGATTTATTAAAATCTAATACTCGTTGATTGTAGAATCTGTGCCCAATTTAGGATTTTTTTTTTACCCTTTGAAAAAAAAACAATGATCCAGAGTCAGAAATGAAAAGAGCAGAAGAAGGCCCAATTCCGGTCATCAATTTGTTCGTACAAACTTCAGTAACCAAACAGCAATAAAAACGCACAGGTGGAAGACTTGCAAACATTGCCGCATCGAAAGATAGAAACTTCTGAAAGACTTAAAAAGTTAAAACCAAGAAGCTGGTTCAGGCTCCTCCGGAAACCTGAAACAATATCTAGACAGGTTGTCAAGGATAATAAATAACCTTTCTAAAAGATATAATATAAGGGTCTTTAATCATGCATTCTCACCATCACTTTATTTTATTTTATTATTTTATATTTGACGTTGTGATGAATTGAATATTGATAACTGAAATATATATATATATATATGTATATATTCCCTACTAGATTGACGTAGTGAAACCAAGCTGGCATGAAGGGAGAGGTCATTTTCTTTTCTCGCTGCATGGATTTGACATATCAATAAAACAGTAATCATGTGCTTAAAAGAAATACTGTGGTGATTATATGACCAAAGAATAGAATGAGAGGTGATGGAAGGATTGCTGCTGCTTGTGGTACTGTACTAGTAATTATCTTTTACGTGAGAATTACTCATTCTGAAGAAATGAATTAGCCAACAAAGCCTTTTTGCTAGTGATTTTTTTTATCTGTGTGTAAGAAATTGGAGAGAGAAGGTAAAGCAATCCGGAGCCATTTCGAGCTTGTACTTTGGAGGGAGAGCCAGGGCAAGTGTTGGATCAATCCCAAAAGAAGGCAGCCACATCGAATTCTGATTTGGATGTCACTGGAGCCACGTTTCAGCGCGATTATAATAATTTTTTTTTATAAAATCATGCTGTAGTAAGATGCTTAGATAATAAATTGTGATGTGACTGTTGCAAAAAATTTATATTGAAATCTCATTTTCACATCAAACATTTTCTTCTGTGCGAAAATTCTTCTGTCCATTGCAGATCTTTTTTTCAATATTATTTCAAATTTTTTATTTTTTCTTTTTCTTTTACCCATAAAATTATAATAATAGATAAATATCTCTTTACATTTATATATCTATATATTTATGAACAAACATATTATTATTAATTTTTAACAAATTTATAATTTAATAAAAAATTATTTATTAATTTTTAATTATTTGTTAAATTTATAAATATCAAATATATTATAAAATTTATTAATACAATTTTAATATAATATCTTTAATGATAATTTTTTATTTTTATTTTATTTTACCGTCATTATTATTTTTACATTTCAATATATATTTTATCATTAATTTTAATTTTATCATTATAATAATTAATTTATAATAATTAATCTCACTTCTATATTATTTTTAATTTCATCAAAATTAATTTTACCATTTATTCAAATTCGAATGAATATTCGTAAGATCAAGTTAGCACCTGTAAGAGCCTCGCAACACTGAGCTAATGGGTCAACTGGGTTCCAGATGGCATGCAGGCCTCCAGGCCCTCATCGTTCCGGTCACAAAATGTCATTGCCCTTGAGCCCTCAACCATTAATGCAACCATTATCATTATTAAAATGACCAACCTCCCTGTAGCCATAGCTAGCTTGAGGTTTTTGAGCAGTCTGGTCAATTGTAGCTCAACCCCGAAGGAAACAATGGTGATTGGCGTGCATGTGTCTACAAATTTGGAGGCATTTATATGGTGACCAATAAGATTAGCTTGGCCCCATGAGTTATAGATCCCCTGAATAAGAATTGTCAGAATTCAAGAGTCACTGTTGCTTCTCGGCCCACTGCCTTTTGTCTCAGTGTTGCATTGTCCATAGGCCATTTTAAGATGCTTTTTATTTTAGGTGGGTTTCAATAACCACCACACACACAAAGATTTTTGTGAATTATAGACATGGGGATATTTTGTGATCTGTCATGGATTTTGATACGTTTTATTTAGCTTAAATGCACGTCTTTCTTTGAATAGTAATAAATACTGATCATTGACTAAAACTATGTCCGCTCTGTCTCTAATTCAATTTATTTTGCTCAAAAAATCTGAATCAATATAATCAAGACATATTCTTCATCATATCAACCTTCAAATATACAGATTGATAGCTGTGTGAGATTCAATAAGCATGTGCTCTATTTGATGACATCCTCCCTAGAGAGATCCGAACTAAAATATCATGTGAGCAAAACCTTTAATGTTCCCCCCAAGTTCATAGAGCATCTAAACGGCGATCTTTGATTTTTTTTTTCTTGTTTGAATCTCTTTTTTTTTTTAGAAAGAAGATCTGAACTCAGCTTTATTAATTTTGAGTACAATTCTTTATTTATATCCAAATCCTCCTTATAAATGGATTTTCAACGAGTAAGCCGACAATCAACACCAACTTTACTTGTTAAGTTTCGACAGGCTCAAGGAAATGTTGCTTTGCACTTTGCCTTAGTGACAACAATGGATCTGATTTTCAATCTCAACTGTTGAATAGCCATAAGCCCATAACACATCAAACCAAGTTACCTGTTACTAGCAACTTATTCTTTATCCAGTTAACCAAGGGTTATGACTCTAAAAGCCCATTTGATCTGAGGGTGGTTGGCCCTTCTTTCTTCGGCTCTGGTTTTTCTTTTTTGGTTTTGTTGCAAATAGTTGGCCTGGCCATTAATATAATTATTAAAGTACAACCCTTTCTTTCTTTCCATGTAAGCTTCCATCATTAGCAAAGCAGGATTTAATCTCAACTAACCTCCGAATGAGTTGAACAGTAATTAACACTGTCATTAATTAGGATTCATTACCCTTGACAGATCATTATTGCATCTGGTAATGATAACTATGCTCTCATTAGTTTTGTAACACAATTCACAGATAATATCTTTTTCCTATTCATTCACGTGTTTACTGTGTGCACTGAGTTTTAAATCCAAAATCTAACAACCAAATTGTATATGATTTAAATTCATTATTACATTTGTTGATTCAATTCTTTTCTTTACCGAAAGAACATCTGACCAACTTGACCCACTGGGAGAACAATGAAGCAAAATTTGGCGAATGAGACGAGTAGTCAGGCCAACCCTGAAAAGATATGGGAGAGGGAATGTAATGTTTGTTGCAAACTTCCCTTTCTGGAAAACAAGAAAAAAAAAGAGCCATCCAAAACAATACAGGACAAACTATAGAGAATAAAGAAGAAATTCATTCATTATTTCATGTATTACAGTGCCAATGTGCCATAGCTGTATAGAACCTTTCGTTTCTTTGACTCCCTTTTTCATTTTCTTGAAGATATGAAATATTCAAACTACATTAAGGCTAGATTCTCCCGTGACAATTGACAAGAGAGTAAGTGAATCATTTTCATCCTTTTTCCCTTTTTTTTCTATTGGGAGTGGGTTTCATGACTTGTAACTTGGGAACCTCTTTTGAAAATAAACAAAGGGTCTCATTATTAATTTTGATCCTTCAGGTTAACTAAAAAAGTTGCTAATAAAAACATGAAATTTAGCTCGATTCCTTTCTATAATTATCTTAAAAAATTCACATTCAATAAATTTAAAAATCGAACTTCAACACTAACGATATTGTCTCATATTATCATTAAACAATCTCTTTTTTGTTAACCAAAATATACACGGTGTATGAAATAAAATATGGAAAGAAGGTAAGGAAGAAGAAAATTCGAGTATTAAACTGTTTGTGTTGCTTGTTTGTGAGGTAATAAAATCTCGTAAAACCCAGTTTGACTCTGAATGAAGGAAACAAAACACCAAATTTGGATAAAAAAAATAGGTACTTCTGAATCAGGGGTATGCATTATTCGAGGCATGAAAGAAAACAAGGTTCCACGAAAAAGGTTAATTCACGTCAAATCGTCAATGATGTCATTATTGTGTTGTTTGTAGTAATAAAAAAAGAATGAATTCAACGTTCAATCTTCAATGAAAATTGAAAAACCAGTCAGCTCTTATTTTAAGCCATGTTTCCTGTTTCCTGTCTGGCTGAAAATGCTCCAACTGAATATCCAGTAGGTTAATGGTGTGATCTACGTTCGACTGTCAAATTATGGCTTGTAGGGTAATCACCCAATTTCTCAAATGACCATACTTTGGCTAATTTGAAACAAAATTCATGAAGAAATTGCGAGGCAAACAGGAGACACCAATCATAAAGTCTTTGGAAAATGCAAAGGTGGTGGATAGCTGCAATTCATGCAAAGGGATATGCTTCATTCTTGAAAAAAATATTCATGCATACAATAGCAGACAAAATATAAGGAATAAAGAAGAAATTCATGTATAATCCTGCAACAGCAGAAAGAAGAGGGGCCCTCTCCTTTGATTTCTAACCTTTTCTTCTATCTTTGCCTCATTTCTTAGCTATACTAGGCTCTGGGTTTCAAACTAACGGTTATGGCTAGAATCTCCATGACAATTGACAATAGATCACTACACTGTTTTTTAGATTTCTCAGTAATAAATGCAAGTAAATGTGAATCCCATTACTTGTGCCTTGGGGCAAGATACTGTTTATAAAGAAATTTAATTCCATTTGATCCTTGAGTTTTTTTTAATTTTTGGGTGAAAGTGGAGCATTAAGATGATAGAATAAAATGTTGTACTAAGTTGCTTGCATCATTGCTTCGAAAAGAATATAGCTTACATCATATATAGATATAGTCTTATAAATTTTGATCCTTAAAGTTTTATTGAGAGGTATGTTAAACTTAAGGCTAATGCTAAGGCATAAGAGCAAGCTTCTTCAATAATTTCCTTTTGTCAACGACAAAGAAAATTCTGTAATTGGTACTTCATCACTGCCATATATACTTTGCTTTTCCTTTTATCACCTTCTGATGTAAGAAAAGCATTTTTTTTTTCACTATAAGTAAATGTCAGAGTCAAAACTGGAAAAAAATAATTGACATTTGGATAAAAAAAAGAATTTAGGTAAAAAGAATACCACTAATTTCTTCCTTAAATTAAAACATTATCATCATTTGAAATATAATAATAATAAAATCAAAACGAAAAAGTTAATACTACTATATAATATTTGGGGGTTAGTGAATTAAGTTATATTAAAACAAAAGCTGAAAGGGGGGGGTGGGGCAAAGGCCAGAGCTTGTCTGCAAAGTTGCACATGTCCTTATCTCTTGAACTGCAAGATAATTTATTCTATTTCACTGGAGCTTTGTATGCTGCAAGTTTCAACTTTAAAAGACTGTTACCTTCAGTATTAACTCACACAGTGTAAACTGTTGAGTGTTGACCGATTACTGACTTCATCGTCATTAACCGATTAAAATAAAATCTCTTCTCTCTCCAGCACAAAGCACCAGGTTTTACTGGCCGACGCATGTGGGGTTAAAAAAGCCAAAAAAAAAGGCCAAGCCATAGCCTTTGCTTGCATGCTTGGAGATTTGAGAAAACAACCCATAAAACAAAACCAAAAAGAAAAAGAAAACAAGTGAGAAATCAAGATTCATCAAGCATTGGAATATACGTTTGATCAGCGACAAACAAGGCTCTACGCAAAGCGAAAAAAAAAAAACCGACCCTGATAAAAAAAAAGTTAAAGATATAAAGAATATTTTAAAAAACCCAAATCAAAAGCAACCTAACCTTGTTGGTTGTTTACTTCTCTGTCCGATTTTTACCTTTCTTTTTTCTTACCTGACCTTACATCTTTGTCCTTGTGTCTGCAACTGTGAAACTTCGTTATCTGGGTTACTTTCGATTTACCTAACAGAAGTTTTATTGCTTTGGATCCCCCCATACCCCTATACCCTATTCCTCATCTCTCTTTCATAGCTTCCCTTCCCCGGCCCCTTTTAAATTGCAAGAATTCCCACGCCCACCCAAAGATAGAGAACCCAAATTCTAGACTCTCTCTCTTCCAGTTCAGCCTCCTGATCTCTTTGAAAGGGCCTCTTTGAGAAGTGAGGTCAATCTCCAATATACTCTAACACTAGCTCTTTCTCTGTATCTTACAATATGGATGTAAGTAAAGCCTACTCTTTCTTCGTCTATACTTATCTATGCTTCAAATTCAGTTTCGTGTTTTATTCTTATGTTGGTTAATAATAATGTTTTTTTCTTTATTGTGTTTGGTTTTGTGCTTGCGTTGTTGTTGCTGATGACTGATAAGTGTGTTTTGTTGTGGGTTTTTGTTTAGGATTATTATAGAAGAAGCCATGTTCCAGCTTTTGGCAGCTGGGATTGGAACAATGACCTCCCTTTTACTCAGTGTTTTGAATCAGCTAGACAAGCTGGGTTGCTTCGTTACAGCTACTCAGAGGATCGTGATTTATATGTTGCCGGTGATCTTTATGAAAATGATGTTGTTACTCCTGCCATGATTGTTGTTCCGCGCAGAAGGGTAAGAACTAACAGCTAAGAAGAAGAAGCAGCTTAAACCTTGATTTCCTTTCCATTTGTCCTTTCCTTTTTGAAGCTGAGTTATGGGTTTTTTTACCTTGCATGTGCATTAACATACTTCTATTCATTTGTTTTTCATAATTATCTTTAGTCTTTTGATGCGTGTGAAAGGCTATGATTTCATCGGAAACGCATTAAATTGTTCATGCGTGGTGGTTCGTGAAAAGGGGTTCCTGGCGAAAATGTCAAAAAGGAAAAGAAAGATTCATAGAAAGAAGCTTACTTTGTGTTAATTTAATAGTACTACTAAAATCAACAAAGAAGCTCGCCAAATAAGTGATAAAAAGGAAGTTGGTATCCCTCTAAAGGGATACGAACACCCATGTGACTACGGAGAAAACCCAAACTAGCCTAATCTAAAACATAGCAAAATACTTTCCCAATAGTCATGCTGCCAGTGCCAGTGGGACCAAAAGCTTTTTTTTTTTTTTTTCATTTCTAAAGTCAAGTTATTGTGAATGAATTTCATTTGTAAGTTACAATTTTTGTTTTAAAAAAACCAAAAATGGTATTGTGATGAAATGATGATGATGAATTGATAAACATGCATCGATATGTATGATCAAATGGTGGTAAATGGGGTTTTTTTTGGTAATAATGAGTGAATTTTGCAGACGAAAGTACGACAGTCTCATGTTAAAGAAGGGAAAAAGCAAAGCTGGGAGGTCAATAACGTGAAGCAACCACCAAGCCCCACTCTTCTGCCCAGGCCAAAACCCAAACCCGTTGATGAAGACCTCTACAAAATCTCCCCTGAGCTTCTTTACTCTAAATCCAAAAAGGTTGCCTCCACTCTTCCATTAATTTTAAAACTCAGCTTTTACAATCCCCCCTATCCCATGTTAATTATTGTCCTTTATTTTGATGCAATTTTTAATGACCCACTAAAGTTCTCTTTCTTCCTTTGTTTCATTTATTGCAGAAGAGAGGGTTGGGCTTCTTTTCAAGCTGCTTGGTGCCGAGTTGTGTATTGTGAAGCTGCCATTGCCCATTGCCAAGTGCAATATATATGCTAAAGCTTATATATCTATATAGGATTACGTAAATATAGTTTAAGGAGTTGAGAAGAGTAAATGGATAATGCCATGCCCATGGCATGTACTTCTTTCCCTTCCCTTAGGGGAATTATTGGGTTAAGAAGAAGATTATTATTATAGTGATTATGATTATGTGAGGATTGTTATGAGCAGAATCTTGTTGTCAAGAAGGTTCTTTTTAAAACCTTCCTTTTTTTGTAAGGCAATCTTTTGGAGGCTCTTACGATGAAAATTTGAAAATCTTGGTTGACAATTTGAAGGGTAATGGAAATGGAATTTGGAATGAAAAAAGGCTTGTAAAAACTGAGAAAATGCCTTGTTAATATCGCAAGGTTTGTATATTCCCTTTCAACTATGTGTAAAAGAATTCTACTTTCTTTTTTTAGCATTCAAATTCAAACCTTTTGTGGTAGTTCTTATTTTAGATAAGCTTGTACATCATGAGAGATCACGTGATTCTATTGACTATTATATGTGTATTTTCAGGTATCATTTTCAATCCATGGGTTTTTATTTATTTATTTATTTTTCATTTTGGAACTCAGAAAGATTACTTTTGCAGATTTAAGGAAAGAAAATTGGAAGAAAAACATGAAGAAACAACTGTTTTTTACTTGAATATGAGAGTGGTTGGAACTTTAAAACATTGGACAGCTTTCCTTTTTGGTGTTTGCTAACGTCATTAACGAGCCACGCGTGAATCCTCGAGAATTATTATTATTATGATAAACTGATCTCTCATTCACTACATCATTTTCACTTTGGTTTTCTCTCCTTTAACTATTATTAAAGTAGGGATTAAGATGGGGCATTAATGAAGTGACAAGCAATGGGGCTTAAGGGTTCAACAAATTGAAACATAAAAGAGCATACGTGCAAACAAGAAAAAATAAGCACTACCATAAAGAAGAGTCTTTGCTTTAGGGTATAGACTTTTAGAGAGAAAAAAAAGAAAATGTGTAAAAGAAAAGAGAATGGGAATATACAGAAAAAGTGATACACCAACAAAGAATTAAAGAGAAAAATAGATCCTTTATGTGTTGGACATGCACTTAATAAACAAAACCGATGGCAGTTCTAATTTACATGAAATCAGGTGTGCCATTGGGGCCATTAGCACTGTAAATATGGTCCAGAGATCGCCTTGGAAGCCTACCTTCTTTTCCAAAGGAGATTTAGTTTTCCTTAAAACTCTTTTTTTTTTTTTTTTGGTTCTCTTGAAACTAAATGAGATTTGAACCTTAAAAGATCCTAAATTTAGAGGAATTGGGCTATATAATTGAATGCTTTTTTTTTATTCATATATTTGTTCCATTGTCCCTCGTCCTTAGTACAGTTCTTTCCATCATAAAGTCACCAAACTTCACTTTAGCAAAAGGAAGAAATTAACTTCATTAAATGACCTACTATTGTTCATTGAGATTTGAATTCTTTTTGCCTGCCAATATTTACGGTGATCCAAAGGGAAAAGGAGATTTTTGAAAGATTCAATAACTTCTTTTTGCTAATAATTAACGATGCCAAAGAACCCATTTACATAAAATGTAGAAATTTGAGAATTTGAAATATGTATAGATGATGGTATAAATCTTTATCCAATAAAGCTCTTTAGAATTAATGCCACGAACCAAATAAATAAATGGTATATTAAATTCTCTTTAATCATAAGCAAATTAATTATTTTAGAAAGTTGAAATCCACTGCTCATCATGTAGTAACGAATGTGTTGTTTTTTCTCTTCGGTAAAATCAAATTATTACTTATCCACATTCCTACCTACACCTACACATCTTATATAAATATATAAAAACCAAAATTTTTGGTAAAAATAAAAAAAATAATATACAAATAGTTTAAAATGTTGACATGTGAACAATTTTAAAAATCACCACGTAATATCTAATAAATACATTGTATTTTATTTAATACATTTTTAATTTAAAAATAATTCAAAAAACTAAATTGATTATATTTATTTTTTATTATTAACCTTAAATCACTATCAATTCAATTCATATTAAAAGTATTAAAATTTTAAAAATTTCTTAATTTGACAAATTAAATCAATCAATATATAATTAAATAAATACTACAATTATTATAAAATAATTGATTCTCTAATCAATTATTTGATACATTTATATTTGATTAAATATAATATCCACTAATTGATGTATTTCATGTGTAAATATATAAAGCAAATATAATTCAAAAAACTAAATTGATTACATTTATATTTTTATTATTGATTTTAAATCACTCTCAATTTAATTCATATTAAAAATATTAAATTTTAAAATTTCTTAATTTGACAAATTAAATCAATCAATGTATAATTAACAAATTAATAAATCATACAATTACGGTTATAAAATAGTTGATTCTCTAATTAATTATTTGATACATTTATATTTGATTAAATATAGTATCCATTTGAGTAATTTATGTATTTCATGTGTAAATAAATAAAACAAATATATCAAATTAATGGAATAAAATATTTTATTAATTTATATTTGATTGATACATTTATATTTCATTAAATATAATTTCATTTGATAAAATATTAATACACGTTGATTTCATTTGTTTTCATTTGTAACATTTTATAATTTTATTATTTGATATTAATGCACATTGATTTAAGTACAATTTAATTTTTTTTATTGTTCTAAATTAAGAGATTTTTAAATGTTAATGGCAAAATAAAATATTTCAATATTAATCAATTTGTCTTTGTTAGACTATTATTCATTCACAATTTTTATTGTTTCAATATTAATTTTCATAATTTAAAATTATTTTATTAATTGACTATATTTATTATTTTGTTATTGACTTTAAATTACTCTTAATTCATTTTCTATTAAAAGTATTAAAATTTTAAAAATTTCTTAATTTGACAAATTAAATCAATTAATATATAATTAATAATTTAATAAACACTACAATTATAACTATAAAATAATTGGTTCTCTAATCAATTATTTAATACATTTATATTTGATTAAATATAGTATCTATTTGAGTAATTGATGTATTTCATATATAAATATGGAAAGCAAATATATCAAATTAATTTTTCATAATTAAATTAATAGAATAAAATATTTTATTAATTTACATTTGATTGATAGATTTTTATTTCATTAAATATGATTTCATTTTATTTCATTTGGTAAAATATTAATGCACGTTTGATTTCATTTGATAAAATATTAACGTACGAGGATTTCATTTGATTTTATTTGTAACGTTTTATAATTTTAAAATCTAGATATTAATGTACTTTGATTTAATTAAATTTTAATTTATTTTATTGTCATTATTAAATACAATAAATTCAATTTGTTTTATTAGTCTAAATTAAAGGATCTCTAAATATTAATGGCAGAATAAAATATTTTCATATCAATCAGCTTGCTATTATTAGACCATTATTCATTTATAATTTTTATTATTTTAATATTATAAATTTAAAATTATCTTATTAATTAACCTACAACACACCATTTGTATAAGTAGTTCTAAGTTAAGTATAATGCATCTTTAACTACTTTTCACTAATTTTATATATTTTAATCACTACTAAACTCTACTTCAATTTTCTCTCTAAGTATCACTTTGCATGGTTTTTGGCTCTATGCTGCTCAAAGGTTATTCTCTTTTAATATTTATATTTTATATTTCTTTAACCATGATATTAGTTTTCTTTTTTTTGATATTTTTTGTTGATGATTAATTTAAAGATGATAAGGTGTATATAGTGAAAGACATACAGGAAAAATCTTTCTCTAGTAAAGTCACTATCATGAAAGTTAATGCAACTTTTGGTTTTAATACCACTTTTAGTTGATACTATATGTCATGTCAGTCTAACAAGAAACTATTTGAAATTAATGAAAATTTTCAATGTTATTTTTGCAATGTTGATGTCCATAATCCAACTTTAGAAGTAATTAGCATTTATATGTTTTAAATTTAATACATAAAAAATTATTATTCCATGATGATAATAAAAGTGTTTCAAATTATTTTATTATATTTATAATTGTAGAATTTTGTATTTGTTATAGGTACAAGTTGAATATTTTGGCATATGATGATTCTGGAAGGACGATATTTGTACAGTTCAATACAGAAGTTAAGGATTTAAATAATAGTGATATTGATAATCTTTATGAAATATTTGTTAAGGTATTGAGTTAAAAAAATTTTTGATACATAAAAAATTTTTATTCCATGATGATAATAAAAACATTTTAAATCATTATATTATATTTATAATTGTAGAATTTTGTATTTTTTATAGGTACAAGTTGAATATTTTGATGTATAATAATTCTGAAATGATGATATTTGTACTGTTCAACATAGAACCTAAGGATTTAATTAATAGAGATATTGATGATCTTTATGAAATATCTGTTAAGGTATTAAGTTAAAATTTTTTTTGATATTATTTAATATGCAAATTAATTGAATGATATATTTATACTTATAATTTAAGAAAATAGAGATTATAAAATTCAAGAGATAGTTAAAGATTTTAAAAGTAAAATTTATGTGCTCGAGACGAGGACAACTAAGTATAATCTTGAGATAAGTAGTACCAAACTTACAGTTAATAAGGTGTATGATTTTGATCATAAGCTTGAATATAAAAAATTATTGAAAAATGTATGTATAAGTTTTATTATAATGATTATGTTTATTATAAAATTATATAGTATAGATTATAATTCAACTATTGTTAAATTACAAATTGTTATTTTATCTATTTATTCACCTCTATTCGTAAAATCTATTAACTCATTAAGTAAAATGACACGTACTTTAAAATAGCAAGAAATACTAGAGAATCAATTGTTGCATCTTCACTTCAATAACAACTTATAAAAGAATCTCTTATGAAAAAAAGTTTGTATGTGATATTGATTTTAAAGATGAAAATTTTAATTTTTTGAAATTAAAACATTATTGTTTTTTTTTTGGAGATTATTTGGATTCAATAAATTATAATTTGAGGTTTTTTTTAGAACCGATGATAATTGCATAAATATATTCAATATATAATTAATTTATTTTATTATATTAAAAAATATAAATTTTAAAAAATTGATTATATAAGTTATGAGTTATTCATAAATTTTATAATTTATATTATTATTAAAAAAATTATATTTATAAAAAATTTACTTATATATAAATATATTTTTGTGTACAGTACGAGTTTAAAAATAGTGTAAAATTTAAAATTGTAACCTTATTTATGAGGTGGACAAGTGTTAAAATTATAAGAGATGGCATCTTAATTAGCTAAGGCACGCTCTTTAATGGATTAATTAAGATTTTACATACAAAAAATCAAAGGAAAATAAAAAGAAAGAAATGACCATGTGTATGCATGCATATTGATATTCCGCATGCGTAAGACAAGTGTTAAGCTACGTTAGTTTGCATGCATGCCTCCTCTCGGCACGTCGATGCCACTTTTCT